TAGATTTGATGAGGCTGTTGTGATCATATAATAATTTATGAAAATTCTTCAGAAAGGTTGCAAGAATATATCCGGACGTGACTGGGATTTAATTAAAGAGACTTAAAATGATTTGGAAATCTTATAATCAGTAGGGAAATATATTACTTCGTCGGAGTGCTCAGCTGAATCGCTTTTGTAAAATGTAAAAAAGGATCATAACTGGCTTAAAATTCTTTCGCATTTTGGCAAAGAAAGTTGCATTTTGAAAGAAATTAAAATCTTACCTCAAAGTTTCTCGGCCAATGATCAGAAGCTAGCAAAAAAAAATGGGTAATTTGCCGCCACTGCCTTGTTTTCCCGCGCTTTTTGGAGGCGAGGTAAATGAATCCTGCGGGTTATCAGCAACCTAGTTTCCACTCTCTCTCTCTCTCCCTTCTCATACGAGAGAGATCAGTGAACACTGGGAACGAGGTTGGTTTGTCAGCTTTTCAGTTTTCATACTACTACGGATAAATGAACTGTTTCTTTCGATGACAGTTGATATAAATTGCGGGTAGACATAAAGCGACGGGTTTTGAGGCCTGTTTATATGAGGTGAGTCAGCCCGGTTAACCTGGGACTGGCCCGCTTTACCGAGCTGGCTCGGCTCATGCATTGTTTCCTCATAAATTTTCGTCCTGTTCAAGTGGGAAAGCGGGCTGGCCCGCTTGCCGAGGGACATCGTAGTTACCCTAGTCGAGATCAACTCGGCAAGCTGGCTAGTCCTCTTCCTCATATAAATTAACACAGAAAAGAATTTATGCGGAAACAAGGCATAAGCCAAACCGGTCCGGTAAAGCAGGCCACCTAACCCGGCTGGCTCTCCTCGTATAAACAGGCTCTTATGTTGTAGACTAAGGTTAAAATATGCCTGTTTTGTCTAACATATTTGCTTCGAAAACGTTTGCTGTTTAAATGTTTGGAGCCAACCATTAGTTCCATGATTTTTTTGTCTTTAATATTTCTTGAATGTCGCGCTGTAAAATAAGCCACCGAAAAGTACTTTTCTTTTTGATTTATTACACTGTAGCTGTACGAACTAGTGGTTCTTAATTTTAAGTCGCACATGATCAAATCCCGTTAAAGTGTGGCCAAAATCATTGATTGAAGTGATCACTCTCTGGCAGTACATTCCGTTGTATCATTGTTATAGACAAAAAAATAATTTACCACTATTTTTGATCGATTGGTCTCAAACTTAATTTCCTTCTTTATAAGATTATCTACCAGAACTGCCAAAACGGTGGAGCTGTTTAGTGATTCAGCAACATGATGTCATAAATCCCTGATGCGTGCGACTCGACTCCTACCACTGTCATTCGGCCATGAAGTTAATGGCCTCTGTTTCAGTGCATAGCACCATTCAAAAGGATTCACTTGAGCACCTTGGATAATAAAATTAGCCGTGTATAATACTTATTACCTAATGTTGATCGTATCTGCTGGTGATAAGTTGATATCTGACCAATAGGATCACGTTATTCAGTAAACCGTAACGGATTGTTTTAGTTACCTCATCTCCCCGGAATACTGCTGCATTCCTTTCCGAGGAAGTAATCTCGTTTTGGAGAACTATTTTGTGGCTTGATAAACTGAAACGCCGCTAGAAAAGTTCATTCCTCTTCTCGTAGCAGGCAGAACTAAAAACCTCTTATTTTGTCCTGGAGAGTTAAGTTATCATGGAACAGAGCGCTTCCTATCCGCATTGGGACAGAAGCTCAGTCGTCAGTGGGTACTCCGAGGGGAAAGGTTTTCTTGATTTTTACTGAGGGTTAAGTATTTCGCTCATTTAGATTTAGACAATTTTGCACCTGACTTTATCTTCTCAGAGTTTTACTTAGCCTATTAACTAACGATTCTCCTTAATGAAAATCGTGATGATAGGGTAATAAATCAGTGCTGTTAGTTAAGGATTTTTTTTTTCTCGTAACATGTCTACTAGAATTTATGTTAAAGTTTATAATCGAAGAAGTAAGATAAAACTGCACTGATATCACTGCAGAGAAGATATGTTCAACTAAGTTATGAAGTTATTGCAATGAATAAGGTAACGACTTATATCTCGCCCAGTAACTGAGTTCCAAAGTGTATAAGTTTGTTTTGATTTTTAAGCCGGACTGCCGGTACCCGCTGTCCTGGGATTTTCATCAAGTTATCCGGCACGACCGCGGTAGAAATTTACGCTAAAAGTTTAATTCGTTTCAAAATGAGGCTGTATGTTCTTTCGCTGTTTGTTAATGTCAGTAAAGATTTCAAAATTATTTTAAACTCAATCCATCATAGGTACGGATATTGAGGGTTCATCTTCTACTTAACAACCGTGAAATAAGTACCTGTTGCTCGAGGATTTCAACTTCAAACAAACAAATTAGTTAAGCTCAGTGCAAAGAGGGAAACTGGCGTTAACTTAGCCATTACTATATTATCATTAGTCATGTTAGCTCTTATTGTCACTTATTTATGTAATAAAGCCGCAGTTTTGTTTTCAAGTCTCAAGCTATATCGCTACACTAATTAGCTGTTTGGGAATATACTCATAGAGTAACTTGAAGGTAAATGATGATCATTTTGAGGATTTTCCTTTTTTCTTTTAGTTGCTTAATTTGCAAAATACGGCGTTAAAACTTAAACAGGATTAATAGCAGGAACTAACTGGAAACTTTAACTTTTTAATTTGACTTTTGACTTAAGTTGCATAATGTTGTATTTTTTGTCACTAAGAAAAGGGTAAAAGTTTCAAGCACATGTTTATCATTTGCTAGTTGCTTTTGTCCCGTTTCTTAACTTGACATTATGGCAGGCGTAAGGAGGAAGAACAACAAAACGGTAGTTTGTTGACAGTCAGAATTATAGACACTGAGTAGATCACCAATCACTAAGGGTGGATTTTGAGCTGAGTGGTGGACCCAAGCTCGCGATCGCTTTGGTATACATTTGACCAATGCTGGATTGGCTAAAATGTTTTCGCGCATTTTTCTCAGCGCTACTACTACCCTGCCTGGCTCCGGATGTCCGTTCTTATTAATTCATGTAACTGTGATGAAACAAACAGCGTCCACCATTTGAATTTGTTGCATTATCCATGGTTATAGGGAAAAAAAAGTCTGGTATCCAGGGTACAACCGTACAGAAGTAACTCCAAAATTACTTGAAAGTTTTTCGTTAGTATTTTCCCGCGCTATGAGACTGAAACATTGATTGTTCCCCTAAGTCGTCTTTCTGCACCTGCTGGAAATTAGTAGGTAGGTAGTTAGATGTAGGAAGCCTATGAACTAAAAGGGGCAGCCCAAAATACTCAAATGTTGTTGTTACTGTAATGTTTTATTGTCGGTAGTGCGTCACCTATTGTGCTTGATAAGGTTATCCGATGAAAACCGAGGAGGGATGTATAGCGAGAGGAGGGGGCTCATTCGGAAGTGTTAATCGAACGCGGGGGAGATGAGTGCGTTCTTATAAGGAGAGACTCAGAAAAATTGTAGAAAACGAGTTTCTTAAAGCTATTTATTTGTTTCTAAACTGAAATAAAATAAAATTAGGGTCATGTATTTTTTTTTGTATTTTCTTCTCAACCTTGCTCCCAGAATACTCTTCAACTCTTCTGGAAATGCAAGACGGCCTGAGAACAAGACTGGCTTCTTCTACGCTTTCTTTAACTGTGAAGTTTTCAAATGTGTAATGTGTTGGCTATGGCTTATTAACAAAAGTTAGTGACGCCGTGATTTAACATTTAAGGGATATATCTTGTTCTTCCCTAGTTAAACTGGCAAGGTGTCAGCCAAATAGCTCAGAAGTGTGTTTTTCATTTTGAATAACCTAGCTCTAATACTTTTTATATGCTCTGCGTCACGCTTTTTGATAAGGAGCAAAGTCAGGGCCTGTTTCACTTTTGTATGGGGCTTTGTACTGTTGCCAAGGAAACAGCGTTGTCGGTCTCTTCGCCCCATGGATAACTTTTCAGACTATATTCTTTGTTGTCCTTTGAATGTAGATAAAAACATATTCTTTCTTTTCTTGTTAATTTTAGTTGACTGTGGGAATTACTACCTGTAATTGGGATTTGCAATAAATATGTTGCGGTTATTGTTGCGTTTTGTTTCATTCATTCCTGCGCATGCTGGCATTATACACAACTGAGGCCCTGTTTAGACTCCTATTAGTATCCACTTTTTTAAACTTTTAAGGACTAGGATAAATGAATCTAAACCTCAAAACCCATTTCACCCTTTTATATGTCCGTCAGCTAAGGTAAAAAGGGGTTTTAAGCCATGTTTATGAACATAGCCAATGTCACTTAATGCTGGTAGCCTTACTTTTCTTTACTCTATCTCTTGGAAGCGTCGTCGCACTATTAACAACAACAAAAAAAACTCGTGCTTGCGAATCCATAACAAAGTTTGTTTGTCTTGGGCTCTTGTCCATTCTACAGCACTTGAATTGTTCTTTTCACTTCTTCCCCTTGTGGTGCTAGGTGGAAAAAGAAAATAGGGTTTTGTTTCGTACTGGTTTCTTTAACTTTTTGCCGTTCAGAGAGGAGAAAATATAAAACTCGGTTTATAATGTCCAAAAACGCAGGCAAGTGCTCAGCATGGAATCTCTACCCTTGTGTCATTGTGCGCATCGGATATCCGTAGACTGTATTATACTTTTTTTTGTTATCATTTCCAGTCGGTATTTTGGCTGACCAGTTTGTATACCTCCCACAAATTTCCGGCAAAATCGATCCAAAAATAAACTGTTCTTCATGTTCACCCAGTTGTGCATTTACACAGCACATGAGTATAGAGATTGATAGGGCCTTGTGTGCCGGTTTGGTGATCTTTTATCTAAGCATACTTTTCTGGACATATTCGTTCAACCTAGAAATTTGAGCCAGGGTTCTAATGAGAAAAATACCATAATCTGAATATGAAAATGACTGGCATAGAACTAGACTGGAGACACTGCATCAGAATCTCAGTACCAAACAAAGGAAAGATACCTCTTAATATTTCATTCCTGAACACTATACCAGCATGGGCCCCATTCTTGCTGAGGTACACCTGAGCCTTCGTTCCATCGTTGGCAGTCATCGTGTGTACAAATCCGCCCTTAGCATGCGCCGCCTTGTTCTCTGTAATTGGTTGGTTAAACGTGGGCTGATTTGCAGTTTTAATGCTATCCTTTGGTGGTTCCGACGCCATTACCGAAGCAGGGTTTTTGGTGGGAATTGCAATCAGTGGCTTTCCTTTTATGGATGTAGCGTTATTTACGGCTTGAACATCTTGATTTGTGATTTTTAATGGTTTCTTTGCGAGCGGCGTTACCGAAGCAGTGATTTTGGCGGGAATTGCAATCAGTGGCTTTCCTTTTATGGATGTAGCGTTATTTACGGCTTGAACATCTTGATTTGTGATTTTTAATGGTTTCTTTGCTAGCGGCGTTACCGAAGCAGTGATTTTGGCAAGAGATGTAGCCAGTAGCTTTGCCTTTGGAGATACAGCGATAGTTAAGTTTGAGGGGAGGGCATCTTGCTTTTCCACCATTAATGGAGATGTAGTTGGAGGTTTAATCAATGCTCCCTCTGCGCTTGAAACAACTGTACTGTCTTCAATTAATCCAGGTTTCTTCACAACAACACCAGGTTGTGTATTATCTTTTAGTGGTGGATTCATTGTCGGTAGAGGACCTTTAAAGAAGAAAAAACCCGTCAAGTTTTTATTTTTCGTTCACCCGGGCGATCAAACTCAACCTACTTTTGATGTATTTTTAGTTAGCTAAATTACAGCAAATGTATGGCATCGGAAGGCACCTCATTCTCTCTTTTATATGGTTTATCAGTCCTGTTCTATCCACCTTTAAGTAATAGAATACGTTACATGTCGTGTGTCTACATACATTCCATGCGCACCCCGCCCACTGAAGGAAATTTACTTGACAATTTTAATAGGAAAAATTTATTTGCTCAAGTCCATAACTCGAAAAATTTCGTATCGCAAACGTCGTTTCCACAGGCATCAGAAATGACTCTGAACAGCACAGAGAGCTTGGAAATCACCGTGCTAAGAAGCAAACTAAGAGCAAGTTATACACCGACACCAACCACGACTTTGACTGCTATGACGGCTATGTTATGCTGATTAGCACTTAATAAGGGCAAAGCAGCTGTCCATGATTTCTGCTGAACGACTAAGTCAGTGCGCACGCGTGAGGTACTGCCCAGGCCGTGGGTTGATCGGTCGGTGTGTCACTTGCTCTTAGTTTGTTTCTTATTGAACTTGCGGACACCCCGTTCTGCAGTAATGCTGAACCGCCTTCACAGCGCATGTTCTGGGAACAAATGTCGTACAGTTCATGGCCAACAGCTCCAACATGTGTTTTGTTGAGCTGGCGCATAAAGTAGTGCTTTTACTGACAGAAAAAGGTCGGCTATGTCAGGCTGGTGAACCCTAGTGAATGTGAAATAAGACGTGATTAACTGATTAGAAAAAAATTTTCGCGTACCTCCTTCCGGGGGAACATTTTTGATGAACTCCGCAAAATCTCCTTCGTTTCCACTGGGCCTGTACCGAGCAACAGTTATGAAACCATACCGCTTACTGACCGCGGTTCCGACTCCTAATTCAGCTGAATTGGCCCAGATCATTTGACTAAAGTGTTTGTATGGGCCACTCCTGCTCTTGGGGCCTCCTTTATCAAAGTCGTAGTTTTTAACCTCATCATACCAGCGTTGAACCATCTCACGACAGTTAACACAATTGTCCACCATGGCACCTTCACATTTTGGAACAGGGGGTTGAAAATATGCCAGATTCTCACCTAATGAAAGTAATAGTCCAATTTCGTTATAGGATAATTTCTGAACTCCAAGGCCTTCTCGATAATAATGACCGAGCGCGTAGCGCAAAGTTATTATTTTTAAGAAGGCCGAGGAGCGAGGGTATTGTCCGATTTACATTCATCATTGTAGCCACCTAAAGTGGAGGAGTAAGCAATTATTCGTAATAATGCCCACCTATCTCACCTCAGTGACCTGCTTGCCATTTAGTATTCAAAACCTGTTCAAAACAATTGAAACACCGCATTGATAATAGATGACTGGCTCTTGTGAAAGTATTGTGTATGTTCTATCTTACCTATCTTGCGGTTTTGTATGGCCACTTGATCGTGTTGAAACGAATCAGTTGAAGCAAGCTGGTCAGCCCAAACTTGAGCTCCTTCAGCTAGGTCATGTGACCACATAAGCGGCGGGACGCCATGTTTGGCGCGATAGCTGTTATGTGCATCGAGGCAGTCTTGGGAAAACGGATCTAGAGCACCTGCTATAGTTAAATGATAAATAGAGCTAAATGACGCGTCGATTAGAAAAGCTACAAATCTGTTATTTTTGGATTGCAATTAAAAGCATCTCATGAGTAATTGACATTTGTATCTCGCACCTAAATTGCCGTTTCTAGAGCTAATGGGTTGAAACGGTGATTATGGGTACTTTGCAAACACGTCGAGTGCTAGTTATAATCATTGAAATACAGTTATCTTTTGCAAAACTTCAACGCTGTGAGAAAGAAAAGCAATTAACATTTAACCATACATGCTTGGGGATAAATTTCTATTGGCCGGGTTTAAAGCCTAAAATATTGTTTTAAACCGGGGCCATGTTGTTCGAAAGACGATTAGCGCAAATCCAATGTAAGTTGTTATTACAACTTCATATGCTATGTGTACAATCAACCAGGATTACCGGGCTTTCCCGACTTTGCAAATAACTCGACTCATGGTGCGATAAAAGGAGGTCCTTTAGTACCTGTCTACAAATTACATCCTCGTTCTAAACTCCGCCAGTGGACTCGAATGAGTGCCGCTTTCTCGTTGAAGATGCATCACCTGCCCATTCCCCCCTCCCACAAATCGATGGCAAAGTCCTTTTACCTCTTAAGTTATATGAAAATATGACAGTCAAACTTGTCTTTAGTACCGGTTCCTGCGTTTTATTTCTGTCATTTGTTTGGCAAAAAGTGCTGGTCAAAGGAGACCTAAAATACAATAAAGCTATTTATGATCCTGAAATATATACCTTTATTTCCAGAAGCTTCTGAGTTTATAACTATAACAGGAGCTTTCCCATTTGTTGATCCTGCTGTAAAATATATAATGTCTTTAGAAACAATATATGTATCACCAACATGCTCTCTTAAAAATCTCATTTCTCTGGTGACAAAATAATTCTTCCGTGAGAGGCACTGGCGTCGAATGTTCACCAGAGAATATCATATAATTATAGTGATATCAGCTTTAAGCACGTTGTCTTTAATTTGAAAAGATAAAAGAGCGATTTTTCCTTGAAAAGTTGTTTTTCTTGACAGAAATACTTATTACTTTCGAAACTGGGGCCTAGGACATTAAATTGAGCGCCAACGGCTTCCATTTCGATGTTAACTACACGAAAATTTCCTCTTTTTTTTGCCCTTTAAGTCCCGATAGTGACCAACATCAATTTTCTCCTAACGATACCCACTCATTGTCAAGAGATTAGGTTATTTGAATAAATAAAATGATTACAAAAAGGAAAAATGCTTTGATCGTTTATCAGATTCTCTTAACTCATTCTGTAAGGAAATGTATAGAGGTCAGTTTTGGAGAATTTGTATGTGGATATTGGGGTATAACGGGTTAAACTCTAGAGTTCGGATAACAGAATGGCCTAACTGCCATTATTTACTTCTTTTTATTAAGTTAAATTCATATTTAGACGCTTCTGTCCACATTTCCTACAGACGAACTTTAAATGCAGTTGTTTAGTGGATTACCTTCAACGACTTGTCCCACCCCATCATTAGCATTTTTCACAAGTATTGCCCTCCCTGTGGCCTCTATAGGAACTCCTTTCTTGGGTTTAGGCTCATTGGCTGGTATCCCTGTAGCAGTATGCAGATTGGGTGTATTAATTGGTGATCTCTGATTTGCTTTGTTTTGTTGAGGTAGTACTTTATGCAGAATGATGTTCTTTATAGTGCCTTTCTCAGTTGTCGGTGTATTGGCAGCTGTATGATGAGCCTTTGGAGACGTACGACTGTGATGTACCGATGTCTTTTGGCGAGGTGCTATGAATGATGTGGGATATTGTTAGAAGTTATAAGCGCAGCAATAAAGTCTTGCACAGAGCCGTTTATCCCCGCGGAATGCAAGCTACACTTACAAATAATTTTGAGAAAAGACGTTGGGTTTTCCTTCACCGCAAGACGTGTATTAACTTCCCGTTGGGACTTATGATCAAAGCCTTTGTAGGAACATTTTTGAGGACTGAACTAATTTTGCTTTATGAACGCAAGGAAGTGTTTTTAAGTTAGTTAAAAAGACATCCTTGGTTCCAGGGCGCATTTATTCACATAAGAGAAAGTAACAATGTTGTTTAGGCAGGCTAACTCCAGCCTCTGTTTTTACACTTAAAAGTGTAAATCTCTTGGCTGCACCGCGAAATCAGTTTACGGTGTCTTATCCAGGTTTGGGCTTTAAAGTGGTTCATGATATATACAACTGGTTTAAAAGATATAAGAATGATTACATCTTAGGCTATATAATAGCAGTTGTTGTTAGGAAACGCCAGACCGATTGCTAACCATTAAACGGAAAATGGAATTTTACACCAGTTAAATGGGCTTGCTGGTTTGTTTTCCCTCCGTCATGTGCATATAACTTGTCTGTTCCAGGTTGAGCTTTTTGTTTATGGCTAGTTGACTTAAACGTTGGTTATGGTCCTTAAAATCAAAATAATGATATAATTTTTCTACTTGCTGGACTCTTCTCCTGATCTTGGTTCTTACACACTAAAAGAAATCTTTCTTGTTTAGTATTATTAAATGCTCGAGTGAACACGTAACCTTAAATTTTAGAGCATAAGTTCTCAAAATAAAGCGAGAAGAAAAACAACCGACCTTCTTGAGTAGGCGATGCTAGTCCCCAAATGATTAAACAGGCATAACCAAGTACATAAGCTTTCATTTCAATTTGATTTTGTAAGAAATTGTGTTCCTTGAAGTTAACTAATCTTCAGGCTCTAACAATTTCATATAAATCAACTATGACTGACATCAATTCAAACTCATTATTTATGACCTAATTCACTTATGACTCTATTCTATGCACTACACAGAGAGATGGATTTAGGTTAAATTTCCCAACTTTATATGCGTCGCGTTTAACAGTATGGCGGACAAGAGAAGTGTCGAGGTAAATAAGTTCCATATAACCAATGACACTAATCATCGTGGATCAATAAGCAGTTTATTTCTGCGGTCCCGCTTTGGCTCAAAGTCATGATAAACCTTTAAGTGAACAGGTATATCCCCTGCAAGCAGGTACCAGTCTAGGAATAACTGCTCTCAGGTTTTCCTCCTTTCACCAGCTGTTTTATCAACCTCTTTGTTTTTAACAGAATCTACGTAATCATAGCGGCCTGGCGTCTTAAATGATGAACTGCTAAGATGCTTAGACGACCGACAGATTTGAGTCTGATTAATTTTGTTTAGTATTCGTCAAGAACACTGCTCGTGGATGATGATGCATATCAGGCATAACTAAGAAATCGCCAGGGATTCTCTAATGAGGCTGAATTGGGTGTCCTGTGGGCTTGTTAAGAACGCGCTTTATTTGTATACATAGCGTTTTACACTCACATGACCAGCAGCTCTGAAAATTTCTCCGAACAAGAGAAAGTTTTTACGGAAGAAAAAAGATCGAATCCCATAGGATTGCGCGATTGGTTGGAGACGCCATTATGGCCGCCATTTCATTGTTTTGTTCACAGTATAGAGACAAAACGGTCTATGGGCGAACAGCTTAACTGCATATCTTGTGTTTACGGTTGACCCGCATTTTCAGATGCTTTGCTTTTTACCGAGACTGGATGCTTCTTACGTCAAACTACTGATTTATCTCACAAGAACCTATTTAATCGTCTGGCTCGGCCTGCGACCCTTCCGTGAATCTCTGTAGGTAAGTGAATAGAGTGCGCAACTGGTGTTTAGTAGGTCAGTTGTTTCTATACCACACGCTTGTGCGTGATCGTCACATGACCGAAATTTTCTTAGTTTGCTCTTGTTCTCGTGTTATGCGGCGGTGATGCCATGTCGATGAGCCTTAACACTGATGAGAAATCTAACCATGTATGCCATTCACGAATCATAACAGTACAAATTTCTTTGGAACCAAACCACGGAGATCGTTTGATGCGCTTGTGCCTGTCTTGGTCATTAATTTTATGTAAGTTTGCGCAGGTGTTCTTTGGTGGTTTTCAGCTCATATGTCGAAAAAACGTTAGCATTTTCGTTGGTTTCGCATCTTTCACGCTTTGTCTTGCGTACGTAAAGAGATTCGCGACGCACGTGTTGACCACAAGCAGAGTTTCTCTTTGAAAAGAAACATTTTGCTGAAACTCAGGAAAGCACATGGCCCTTGCTGACTGGTTAGTTTGCTCCTTCTTTGCACCACTCGAAAGTCTCTCTTTCTATAAAATGTACCAGTAAAATTGTTGCCGCTGCAACAAATGATTTACGCGAAGATTGTTCATTGATAATTATTATGTCGCGAGTTCATGTATTGTAGAATTCATTATACTGGACCAAACCGTACATGAATATTTTTTATTGGTATCAAATTAGATGATACAAATATTATTAATTAAAACTAAAAAACTTACCATATTTTAGTTTATTGCTCTTGCATTTTTATAAACTCAGCTTCCATAGGTAGCTTATTTGGCAGTCAAGTATATTATGAACTATCTTTATTTGTTTATCAGACTTAAATATAGGCCGGGAATCTTTCCCAGTTAATTTATTAGAATAAATAAATAAATAATATATAGAGAATACTTCATGGAAAGTGCGGGCGTGCGGTATTTACGCACGAGTTGTTGACGTATCAGAAATCGAACGAGTGAGCGCAGCGAACGAGTGAGATTTCTGATACAAAAACAACGAGTGCGTAAATACCGTACAAAGCACTTTCCATGTGGTATTGTGTTTATTATATATATACTGAGATTTTAATTCTTGTTTTTCCTCTTTAATGACAGACCGAGACAAAACTCTGTTACATGAATTAAAGTTAAAAACTCATGCAAGGATTATAACATTGAATTTCTGCCAGAAATTTAACATTACAGCAAGCAAATAATGTTCAAATATTATTTCTAAACTTTAATCCGAGTCGGACTCCTCAATTCGGATTCTCTTCCACCTTTTTTCGGTGGTTTCGGTGACGGAACTCCTGGTTTGAATGGTCGGCGAGGTAGTAAGCACATTAATGGAAATCGTAAATTGTCCTCCACTTATTACTGCTCCATCAAAAAAACTCATCGGGGTTTTACTAGTGCAAGTGCTCGCAGCAGCAGTTTCGTTAGTTGTAGTAGTTACTTGTGTTTGCGACGATGCTCGGCTTAAGATGCCTGATATGTTTTTTTGTTGATTTAGGTTCAAGCTACTATAGTTTGTTATGCTTTGCACGCTCTTGTGCCCACTTAACTGCATTATATGCGTTGGCGGAATTTTACTGTCATTAAGTTTTTGAATCATGTGTTTACGAGCACTATGGTTCGTGAGTCGCTCGTTGTTGATGTTTGCTTTTGAAGCCATTGTTTTCATCAAAGTGTTTAATTTATTTACACCCATAGGTGCCGACTTGAACCAGTGCTTTTTGGAGCCGTCTGTTTTCGTGTGGTTTATTCCCAAGTAGAATGGCGAATCGTCAGCCATCATGTTTTCCGGTCGCTTTTCACGGTAAATTTTGTACGCCACGACAGGATCTCGTTCATCACCAGTTGAAAACATTTTCGGGGAAACTTTTCGAACGTTTGAGGCGTCTCGCTCCAGATCTTGTTTTTGTCTGTCTTTCATTGTAAACTAGATAGTCGTTACCTTGTGCGTCCTTACAAAGCTTTACATCTCCCCAGCACAAATCCCTATGCTCTTGACAACCACGCATTCCAAAATGAATGGTGTTGTTCAGCCAAACAGTATTCAACAATGATTCAGCGGAAGAAACTCCAAGCAAATTGTTTTCGTGAAGTATATCGACTTCTTCGTCCGTGATAGCCACAGCGGCTTTGTCCTTGTTGCCTCGGCCTGCTTTCTTCAGCTCTTTTTGTTTAGCCTGTAAACAAATTCTTTATCGTTAATGATACTCTTAGTATAATTATTTTTCTTCAAATGTCTTTCAATACTTGAAACAAGGCATCTTAAACTTGAAGGCTCATAATCCTCTCCGTCTTTACGTCTCACAGAACGAATAAACTCCGCAAGGTGCTTGTTTAATTCTGCGGGCTCTATGTCTTGCACTTCTCGCTCGTCGTTCTTTTCGTTTCTCAAAAACGTTTCCAGCAATTTCACATCTCGTTTCGTTTTCTCTTTCGTATTCCTGTTTTCGAGACTTTCCACGTAATCCTCGACTGAAGTATCGTGATCAACAAACCTTTTCTCGTTCATGTTTTTAAGCTTCAACACTTGCGAAAGATTTCTTTAACAAAGTGAAATGCTGCCAGCTGAATGAAAATCACCTTGTTACGGCTCACACGTCAAAAAACATGATACGCAGCACCTGATTGGACGTATCGTTTTCCTCACACGTGGAAAAAGCAATACGCGCCATTTGATTGGCTGTCGGGTTCTTAGACCAGCTTGTGAACCAAATTTATTTCGCGCCTTTTCAATGGGTAAATCTCAGTACATATATAATAAAATAATATTCTATTTATTCAGTAATGAAGAACACCTTTGCCTCTTATGTATACGTTCCTTGCCCCTCACTCAGTAGACAATCAATTTGCTCCTTTTCAAGTGACTGACAACTTTTAGCCTAGGAACCAATCCCACGCTTGGAGGTGTGAGGGTTTACTTATTCGCCTTAAAACCCTCCCAACGGGAGAGCTTGCTCGCTGGTTAATATTGTACATCGTTTACTCATAGGAAACACATTTGCCACTGCCTCTTCCCCAGTCGCTCGAGATCACTTCCCGGGGGATATTTGAGCTGCATAGCACTATCCACCGGATACATCACTATCCAGTGGATAACTAATATGTAGATTTAGCCAGGGCTAAAAGCGAAGCTCTCGATACTTTTTATAGTTTAATTTGCCAAAATAATCGTGTAATGCTAAGTGGCGAAGGAAACGTCGAGAACGGTGAAAAACAAAACAAAGCTAGGTCTAATCAGCAAAAAAGCAACTTTGCAAGTACAGCACACTTGTTTTGTACTTTTCTTTCCCGTTGTTTTGCACGAGTACAACATGAAACTTCCAGAAACTTCCTGGCTAAAAGTGTTATGGAGGAAATGACGAACTTGTTTCTTGTTCACTATTTTTTTTTTCTCTGCCGCTCATATTCACCTTGGTGGCCACTAGCATTTCTCAGTTTCTCACCGCCCCTACAAAATTTTTATGTTGTTCTTCCAACAAAAAACGTCTCCTTTGTTTTATCTCTCGCTCTGGCTCTCTGTCGGTCTTTTTCTCGTTGAGCTTCACTGGCCTGTCACCTATATTCTCTTTTTCTCTGTATTTTTCTTTCTCCGGCTATATTCCAAATTTGTGGACATGAAACAATTAATCTAAGCTTAATACTTAACACAACAAGGATACAGAAACAATGTCCGCTTTCCGTTTTCGTCTTTATTGACTCTTTGGTTGTCTTTGCCTCACAAGACAGGGTGGCTATGCGATTTCCTGCCAAAATAACCTCGAGTTGCATTTGGGTTGCCATGCCTGTTGATTGAGTTATTTTACTTTGTTATGCCTGTGGTGCGGACGGACGGTCGGTTGGACGTACGATCACGCGATTACCAAAATTTCTCGGATGGATAGATTACCACATTTTCTTAGGTATGGGGCTACGCTCGCGGGCGTGGAGCTCCGCTATAAGGAGACCAATAGGCCTTTTGCAATAGCTAATCACGTGATCAGCTTTCTCCAAACATGAAAACAGTTTGCTTTTGGAAAATTCTGTGAGCAGGAACTGAAAGAGCATATTAAAATTAAGTAACCTGTGAACTGTCAGCCGTAGTCAAAAGGAGCGATTGGAACGGCCGCCGAAAATTAGAAGGATTTGTATGAGAAAAACAACTCTTGTCACCTAGTCACGCTTGAGTGGTTCTCCATACAAATCCTTGTAAATTTTGTCTTTTTAAACTGTCGTTAGATCTTTCCCTTACCACTTTAAGGGCTCAAATTGCCTGTTATGAATTAAAAAGGATTTTTGAGCCCCATAATGCTTTACGAAATATTGTAAATTTACAAGAGTTTGTAAGGAAAACCACTTAAACGTGTGGAAGAGTTGTTTTTCCCATACAAATCCTTCTAATTTTGGGCGGCCGTTGCGTTCGCTACTTTCGAGATATACGGCTAAAAACTTGCAGGCTACCAAATTTTGATACGCTCTTTTAGTTTCTGCGAACTGTTTTCGTCTTTATAGAAAGTTGATCACGTGATCAACTAATGCAAAAGGCCTATTGCACCATGGGCTGGATACAACCTCGTTCCCAGGGTTCTCTCCTACCCGTCCCTACGGAATGAGAGAGAGGGGGGAGAATCTGGGAACGAGGTTGGGCTGGACAGAGATTTATCAGGTGCATTGCGTTATCCACCCTTTGAACAACTGGCGCCACAACCTCGTCCCCGGGGCGCTTTTTCCTGGCTTTGGGGACGAGGTTACTGGCGCCAGTTCTTTACCGTTACTAGTTAAGATGGTGCCGAGCGCATTGTTATCGCTCCTCTACTTCTTGAAGTTCAGTTTCAAGTCTTATAACGTGTGTGCTAACTATGATTGCTGTACACTTCAATAAAGAGGAGAAGTGTGACATCACGTTACCAAGGTGGCAAAATTTCTCGATCACAACAATATGGAACTTAAGCAACGACGACGGCGACCACAACAAGAACGTTGCACGCATCACGCTTTTTTTGTATGACATTTATTAGCCGTCGTTACAGGACTGTGAATGAAACTTCCTAATTTCACGCCCCCGCCTTATGGAGTTAGTGAACACAAAATAAATTTTCTTTTTCTAAACTTAGATGCGTTCCTTTCGGATTCAACCTTAGAAAATTTTCCCGACATTTTACAAATTAAATAAATGGATAAGATCGGTGAAGTTTGAAACAGTGCGAATTCACTTCATTTTAATAAAAGAGACGCTTTCGATTTGTTGTCATCCAGAAATTTTGCTACCATGGCAACGTGACGTAACGAATTCTCCTCTTTATCATCGCAAACGGCAGCTCGACATTCTGAGGCCTAATTCCACGTCGGAGGGAAGAATTCAACGCCGAATGGTGGGACAATTTTGTAAGCGAGACAGTTATTGAAGAAGAATGGCGGGAAAATTTTCCCATGAGCCGAAAAGCCCTTTACAAATTAGCTGACTAACTGAGAGTGAATTCGGATAATGTGCAAATTTGATTTGAATACGCTACGTGTGGACGTGGAAATTTTTGAATCCTCAAAGAAAAATTTGCGGTTTCAAAAATATCGGGATACTTGTGGACGGGACCGAAAACACTAGCTAGTGACTCCAGCTCACTTACTTTTTGTCCGTTCTCCATAAAACGTGGAATCTGGACATTTTCACGTCGTAGTCGTGCAGAGAAATGTCCAAAAGGAAAAGCCTGATACACGTGCAGATATGTTGTTTTGCTAATCAAATCTATTGCTTTCTTGACATTCATGTTGCCGTCACCGTCGCCGTCGCCGTCATCGGATCCTAAGGTTCCTAATAGTAAGTTGAGAAGGGCATACGGCTCTTCCTAGCATTAGGGACCTTAAGATCCGACAACGGCGACTTCCATGAAAACGTCGCTGAAAAATAGACTTCGCATCCTTTGAAAATACTTCGCGATTATCCCAAGTCACCCTGTTACTTAAAAGAAGGGAATTTAGGTTGGAAGTGAAGAGAGGGGTCCGCGCCCAAGTTAAGACAGAGATTGTAGAATTCATAGCCCTGCCGTTCCCGATCTCAAGTAAACTTAAAATTTGGTCATTTCACGTCGTAGTTGTGCAGGGACGGCAAAGTTTGACAAAAAAGTGTGATGCACGTGAAAAGTTGTTGTTTTGCTCATTAAACCTATTGCTTTCTTAGGTTCCCGTTGCCGTTGCCGTCGTAGTTTCGTAAGGTCCCTTTTGAATTAGTGATGCTTGCTTCAAATGCTTTTAATGGGAGAGGGTTACGTAAAACTTTCTCCTTAGCACACTCAGAGGTTAAGAATACAGTTAACACCACACCCGTAAGCTTAAAATTTTCCAAGAACCTATCCTGTCGACTTGAAGCATGTTCAGAACGTTTACATATATAATCAATAATCTCTGGAGACAAGACATTTTGCTTAATATAGGCGATATTAAGTAAAAGTCTTGAAAATTTATTAGGATAATCAAGATTATTATACTCTATTAGAAAACCTTACCAATCTTCAATGTTTTGATTTTCACTCCCTCTGCTAGAAATGTAAAATTTAGGTGAAAATGTACGATCCGCACTTAATTACCGAATTGCTTTTCATTAAAAGGTCATCATTTCTGACACACTCTTAGTTTTATAAGTTTTTTAAAATGAAAGTACTTCGATGGCTTTTCAACTACGCGGGGAAATATTTTTCATTCTCTCTAATTTTGCAGGTTAACGCGAGTTTTCTTCTTACTTTAGAGTAGCGCGGCTTGCCATCTTTTGATCTACTCTACTATAATCCAAGCGTCAATGATCTGTAGCGTGAAGCAATTATGGCGGCTGATTGGTCCGTTTGACACGATAAATGGAGTCAGGTGCAGGTACCAGAAGCGTTTCTTTGTTTTCAGGGCTGGTGACTGGTGTTGAATTGTTGTAAAGACGGAAAATTCCCGCCTAGCTATTAACGCTGATCAATACGAAAGAGTTCATTGTGTGTTTTAACAATATCGGATCAAAATACGAGAAAGTTTTTGATTACACGCTCCAAAACTGCCTCAAAGAACCTCAACTTGTTGAGACATAAGTTGAAATTGAAATAATTAAAAAACCGTTCATACAATAAACTGTAAAAAAGAAAATTAACAAGCAGATTTTTTGCAGTGTTGACGTGAATGCACGGCTTATTCTTTCTTCTCTTCAGCTATTAATTTTATTGGGCGTTCACGGTTCTGTACACGCACAGCATTCTAAAACATGAAACTTTTGTTATCTTCACGCTGTGAAGATTTACCGTCACGATATCACAGAAAACAAAAGTTTTTGGAAGGTCAACAACTAGTTATAAGAAAAGATGAAACTCGTGCAATTATTTGAAGACCGCTTTGGAGGCCTATTTTGCCTGAACACACATTTTCCGTTCAAACGTGTTATTTCTATAACGAGATAACGCTGACCAGAATGATAGCTTTATAGTTGTTTATTAATTTCCTCTGGTACATGTCATCAAGCTTTTAATACTTAATAATTTATTAATGACTTTGTTCCCAGCCTTTGTTCTGAGACTACTTGTTTGGGATCACGAGGAGAGTTTAGAACCAGGGATTTTGTTAAACCAATTCATGCAATTTTGAACGATGTGGAAGCCGGGCTGGTTAATTCTTGTATTTATAGCTTGTTTAGAAGTTAAAGGTAAGCTTACAAAGTACTATGAACTAAGATATTAGCAAATGATCAATCTTATGTCATTATTTATGAAATATCATTATATGAAAGACAGAGTGATTCATCATTTGCCTATGAACGCCTCTATTTCTGTTAATTTTTGTTGGATGATTGTCCCTCTTTTAACCTTCAATGAAAACTTCATGATCCGGCCTAGAAGTTACGTTGGAAAACAACGAAACAAAGTTATAGAAAATCACCAAAAATCCAAAACCTGTTGTTATTTCCGCGATATATTTTTCTCGCTTGTTTCATAGCTTTTCTGCTACTTTTTGTGGTTTCGTTAAATTGTATAACTTTCAATCCAGAGAAGGCAACTTAATAAGACAGCCAAAATTTCGTATAAAAATTGTTCCTTAAAAAAAATCTCAAAGTGTCGTAGATGGTACGCCTGTTAGTTCTTTGAAACCATTAATATTACATAAGCAATGGCGACTTCGACTCAGTTAATCTCTTCTCTTAATTTACTTTTCTGCAGTTAACGGAAAATTTCATATAAAACCAAAAAGTCACAAATCCACGGAAAAACAGACATATGAGAAAGAAAGTGAGTATGTTTACTAATATATATAGCGCTCAAAACATATGAACTTTATTATTGTTATACTGTCACTTAAGAAAGAGATATTTGCAGACGAGAAACCCTTTAGTTAGATTTGAGTGTTATTAGAAAGGCAGTCATAATCTGCGACGTAAGATTACCGGACAAATGGGGGAAATACACACCGTTAAAACTGGACCTTTTACAGAGCTAGTGAAATGTCCATTATATTGTAAATTTGTAGACTTTTTATGAGTGCAAATCTTCCAAACCTTTTTCACAGGGAAAACAAAATGTCTGTAAAAAGTTTGCAGATGTTTCATAAAGTTTTTTTTGATGTATTTATATCGAATACGGTCATAAAAATTCTCTTAGTTTTTCCTGCGGAATGAAGTGAGGAGACGAAGACTTGACCAAAAACTCTGAAAGACCTTTGTAAATCAGTTGACATTTATAGGGATTGTCTTGAGTTATTTCTTCCCGTAAAATCTCTGTAAAATGGAATAAGCAGGGCAATACCCTTAGCTCTGAACACGCACACTTGAAATTTTATGTCGATACGTACAAAATTCAGGTTCAAAATTCAGTGTCTTTGTAGCCCTATAATCCAACCTAACATGGCTTTATACCCAGATTTAATGAAATCAAGCGTGCGATAGGATTAAAATATAACTTTATCCTTTTACCCTAATCAGGTCTATTTAAAAGACCTAATTGATCCTCGAAAACGAGAGAGGTTATTTTCCGTTAAGCTTGTCATTTATCTTGTGCGCACGATTTCATATTCAACAACACCCCACATTAGAATCATTTTCAGTTTCTGTATTATAAAAGTGATAAATCGCTTGGACAAGGTTTGTCATGTAAACTGCTTCTTTGATTCGTTTTCCTTCGCAGCAAAACAAGTGAAAAGAGACACGGTTCCTGTGCCAAGCGGTAAGGAAGTTATGAGGTCATTTTTCTTCACGTCATGTTTATAAAACATTTTGATTTTCCGCCATGAGAACAGAGAACGTCCTGTATAAATTGTTTAGAAATTATTGTTTCAACTATCAAATTATTTTGCCCTCTCACAAGAACCAAACACAAAAATAATAAAAATGCTTGTCATTCCGCTCCTTAGTCAAAGACCTGTAACTCAAGCTGCGATAATTTGATTGGCTGTGGCAGGTTAAGCTCTTGTTTGATTGGCCGCTGACTCGTTTGCTATCTCGTCGAAGGTCGTGTCCCATTCGCTGCCTTCGATTTTTTCCTAAGTATATCTATATTCATATCTTTCGATGGTCCGAATTTCAGACATCTCTTCGAGTGGCATACTCCTGTCGTCCTTGAGAGGTGCGTGCGACTCGAAGGCATGTCTGAATTCCGATTCCAACTTATTTCCGAAAAATGTTAAGTTGTTTGTACATGTCGGTAGCTTGTAGTAATTAATTGCAATGCTAACACTGTATACACCTGTTTATATTTCATCAGGATACCCTTCAAGCTATGGTTCACAGTACACTAATATGGCTCAGTCCACCAGTGAAGGTACTCAATCGCAAAAAGAACCATAAATTTAATAACTTCCGGCCTTTTTAACAGGGAAACCATAGGATTTTGAGGGCAGAAATTCGTCTTTTCATAGCTTGAGAACATTTTCAGTTAAGGGAAAAAGTCTATGTCTACCTGGTTTCTCTAGACATACATCTTTTCGCGTACAGACCTTCAATTACACGCTAGTATAACAGCCTTAATGTTTGCGATTTGCAAACCTACTTCTTACGAGGTTGAGTCCTCTTTAAAAGTCTTTTTATTTGCTCCGTCTCTATGAACAAATGACCATGTTCTAGTGAATTCAATTAGTACCTTTAAGCTCATGCAGAAATGTTTGCGGTTAAGTTGCAAATGTGTTAAATTCTGTCGGACAGTTATCTCTATCAGCACTGGGCCGGTTCGAAGTGTCTGTCTAGAAGAGAGGCATCTTAAAGAGGGTCAAAGGATAGACTGAAGAATGGAAGGGACCAACTTTAGGGATCTGTTTCACCCAGATGTTCGCTGGAGAGAATAGAATGTACTTCAACATGATTTAGGTGTTCACCATTATTTTAACGGTAAATTTGTTCCCCCCACCACTGTTGATGATAACTACGTTTCAGCTTACAACACAGCATCTACTGCTCAGACCAAATCAGCGATGCCATATCCTGCTGCCTCTCCAGCAACCTCTACAGCAGCAGGTGCTCCTGCCTCAGCTTCAGCAACCACCGCTGCCGCCGCTCCTGCCCCTGCGCCCGCCCCAGCCGCAGCCGCTCCTGCTCCAGCCCCAGCTACAGCACCAGCATCACCTCCAGCCGCTGCTGCTCCAGCACCAGCTCCAGCAGCTGCTGTCCCGGCACCAGCCCCAGCACCTGCAGCACCCGCTTACGCTGCAGCACCAGCCCCCGCCAGAGCGTCCGTGCCATCTTATCAACCTTCATCCAGTACCTACAGCGTCAACTACAATCCAGCTCCAGCACCAGCTCCCGCTCCGTACTACTCGTACCCAGCTCCCGCAGCCTATCCTTATCCAGCGTATGCTACCACCATGATCGCTTCCGCAGGTAAAAGGTTTCTTTAATTAAGAAGTAGATATAAACTTAGATTATCCCGAATGAGCTACGCTCTAATTCTTCATAAAATAAAGAGATTTTTGAATTGAATGAAATTCTAAAAAACGTGGACTATTTTCTTGATCGTTCTTACGACCTGTACGATGTATTGGACAGATCGATCATACCACTTCAAATATTAATGAAGAGGAGTTTTTATTATTCACTGTATCATTTAATGCCGACCAGCTGAAGTATGTTTCTCACTAAATGCTGAACGAAAACGTCCTTTAGCATTTACGATACAACCGTGTAATGTTTGCAGTAATTTTTCAGTCTGTGTCATTATACGTTTTTAAGCTTAAAGCACAGGTTACCCAGGCTCAGTGATAGTACCACAGGGCGAGTTCGAAACTTGTAAAATTACACTGTTTAAATGGCGTAGTTTCACAAAATTCCGTGCGAGCATTAAGGACAACAACAATTCAGTAACTGCAGAGAAAATTTCATTGACGTTTATTTGGTATTCACTAAATATTTTAGGATCGTATCCTTATCCCATACAAAGAACACTGCAATTTTACAAGATTCGCAGAGTGGTACTATCACTGAGCCGCCTGGGCAGTCTGTGCTTAAAGAAGCCGCTTGAAGCCACTTACAAAGTACCCACTGCTCAAATCACCGACTGCCTAAACAGGTATCGATTTCATAAGCAATACATAAAACTTAGAAAAAAATTTGAAATTTTTACTTTTCAGTTGCGCAAGTGGCTAAATCTACTGCTAGTCAAGGTACGTTTCGGCAACATGAACAATGCTGAGACAGAAACGACACAAACATCAATAACTTCGAGAACGAATAACATTTAAGACAATTATTTAAACAGCGGACGACATCGAAAAAGCTTCAATAAAGGCAAAATGTAAAGCTAAACATGCAGGTCTTAAAACTATGAATATACCGAACTGATGTGCATGAAATTGTTTCTTTAAACCTTGAAGTTAAAGAAGTTTTATCACGCTATCTGCATTTTTTAAAAAGCTTAAACTTTTCTCGCATCAATTGAATTTCAAAAATAATGGTTCGGTTTTGTTATTTAACACTGTATTTAAACATTGAAACTGTTTCCTGTTGTCTTTTGTAACGGATGGCAATGATGGAAATGGATTGAACCGTGAAAACGTTGGGCCAACTTTTTCAAGTTTCAATGCAATGCCGGCAAAACTTACCAAAAATATATTACGTTTAATGCTCCCTTTCGAAATTAATTGTTTCATATCTTCTTGATAAATATAGGAGAGAATTTTGTAAATGAATAAAGACACTAAGTAATGACTTCAGCACAGAATTGACCACTAACACAGAAATATGCTCGTGACATCACCCCTTTAATCACAGTAGTGTGAGTAATTTTATGCAGCGTGTTGTTAAGGCAAAACCAGAGGCATATCCTGGGGCCCGTTTCTCGAAAGTCCCGATAATTAACGGGCCCGGTAAGCTGTCTCCGCTTACAATAAAGATCGAGGTTTCAATAGTTTTGCATCGAGCATGATAAAACTATCAGTTAGTGAAACAGAATGGAGTAGTCTGCTAGCCAGGACCGGCGCTCTTATTCTTTATATTTCGATTTGAATATTTGTTTTCGGGCCCGAAAAGTTACCGGGACTTTCGAGAAACGGGCCCCAGGACAGGGTTATATGCTTTTGGCAAGGCATAATAATGCACTGAAAACTAAACACAAGGGCACCCAACGACGTTTTCCTCCTAAATACATTGAAATCACTTTTTAGGCTCTCCAGAGTACTTTTAGATCTCGATAGATACATTCTAGGCGATGCGAGGACTTCAGTAATATTTTCCCCAAAATTTGAGATGCAATTTAGCGAATTACGAAAATGAGAATTTTTTCAGTCCTCTCTCCATCGCATTTTTGAATCGGAAAACTTGTACGAAAAACAGCGTCACCTGGGCAGTGAAAGTTGTCAAATGTGAAAAATTAGAATTCAGAAAATCGTAGGGAATTTATTGCATAAGCTTCGAAAATTGTACATGGATGGAATGGTCATGTAAAAAATTTTAGCCGTCCTCAAATAATAGAAAATTCTAGGCAATGTTTGCTTCTCCGAACAGATACCTCACAGAAAACAGTCGTTTGGAGCCCCTGTAAACAATAGGTTTATAACAACGAAAAAAATAAGTTATATAAAAATATATTGAAGCAAGGGTTTATTATTTTAAATACTGAACTCTATCTTTGTGTCTTTATCCAGGTTCAAGCAAAGGCAAAGGTATGTATTTCGCATAAAAACGTTTTATTTTAAATATGTCGGCTCCAAAGTCGAAGCGTACCATGTTGCTATCTAGATTTATGTTACTGATTCCTTTTTCACAATCATTTATTTGTTTACTAATTCAGTTTTTATTTTCTCTCCCACAGCACGAAGCAATTTGGCAGGTAAGCAAAGAAAAGCATCTTAGTTGCGAAAGAGTTAGTTTAACAGCGGAAGATTTAACTTAAGCGGCGGCAGAATTTACTTTCTCCGGGGTAGTGTTAGCCTTTAACCGCGGCAGGGTTAGCCCTGCAGTAGGCAAAACGGCTTAGCGAGATTTCAAGGGTTTGTTCCACTCAGTCACAGACTGAAGATAATTGAAGATAATTGCCCTGCTAACGACTAGACCCTTGTGTTGTTTAGATAACCATGTAGAAATGCCGGTTCCGTCTGCAGCGGGGGGCTAGTACTGAATAGATTCCTTAATATAAATGTATTCAGGAGCACCTTTTACGGACAAGGGCCTTGGCTAGGTTGCATCTTAAGATGGCAGAGCCTGAGGGCTCTTACCTTCTGTTCTGGAACAATAACCTATTGTCTTGAAATAATATTTACGAGTTCTCCTAATCTTAAGATGTTTTTTGCAATGCGACCTTTGCCTCTTATTAATTTAAAGATGGCCCAAAGTAAGGCAGGCGCTTTCGAAAAAGCTGGCATGGATTTTCGGATCGTGTCTTCAGGCCCTGTCGGTTCAACAGAATTTCACAAGACCTGCGTCACTTTTTATAGCTTTTTAGGATAAAAGAACGTTTATCTCGCACTTGGCCTCGCTTTGCTGTTGATTTCACAATACATTCTACCACCCGCAAGTTAAAATTGCGGAAGATCTAGGAGGAATTTAGAACAATTTATTCCAGGAATTGTGGATACGATATATCATCCAACAAGGGAGTAGAAGTGGTCTTTTTCGGGAAGTTCTACTGAACTGAAGTCATTTAAGTGGTCGCTGATGGGAGGTGGTCTCTTACTAGAGGTGGTCATAGATAGAGGTTGGACTGTAATCAGTTTTTAGTAAAATCCAACTAGTGGTCTATTATCAATGCTGCGTTCTGATTGGTTGAACTACTACTAGGCTATATGTTATAGCCAACTAGTAGAGAAAAGCGTGGGCTTTTTGGCGGCAAAAAAAGGATTAAAGTCTAGCTTTAACTAACTAAAATGTTTTCATTCTGGATATTTTTGCCAACTAGTTGGATTTACTAAAACAATTATTCCTTTCATTCCTCTGAGTCAATTCTGCCTCATGGGCTATTGACTCAGAGCCCATTCGGGCTCGAGGAATAATTGTTAAATATAACAGAAGTACAACCATTCACAAGAAATGAGTTAAATTGCGTGTTGGGGAAATTCGGAAATGGCCTACTGTAGTAGTGGCAGACTTTTCTCTTTTTTAAACATTTTGTTTAGGTGTTTGCATAGATGATGAAAGAGCAAGCAACTTCTGTTTGAAAGCAAGGAACCCTTGCTTTTGTGAAGAAAACCACCACTTCATGTACAACTACTGCAAAGATTCCTGCAACTGGTGTGACTCGTCTGAGAATGTCGGTGAGCAATTATAAATAAACATTGTTCATAAGCAATAACGCATTTCAGAATGACCAGAGTGATAAATGTTTAGAGACTTAGTTAGACACGTTTCCGTAATACATAAATATCAACTCATTAACTCTGTTTCAGTAACCGGCACACAAGCATACACACAAGCTCAAGCATATATATATATAAAAGGATAAAAATGCTCCTTTTCTTGTGCTTGATCAAAAGTGGAAGATTCTTCTTAGTCCTTGTAAGCGGAATAAGACGACGGCGACGGCAACCAGGACGTCAAAAAAGCAATAGGTTTATTAAGCAAAACAACAACTTGCAACGTGCATCATGTTTTTTTTTACATTTTTTGCCGTCACTGCACGACTACAAAGTGAAAATGCCTAATTTCAAGTTTTACGTAGGACGCAAACAAGCTACGTCAAAATTTTTCTTGAAGTGACGTTTTCGCTGCCGTCGACGTCGTCGATGCTAAGGTTCCCTGATTGTTTCGAATCGTCACTTCACTGTGACAACATTGTTGCTAATAAAACCGTCCTTGTAACATCGCTATAAGGAGTTGAAGCAGCTGATCCGGCATCAAGCAGGGTGGCTTAAGCTTTGGCAAATAGTAAGACAAAATATGTTTTGAAGAGTTAAATGATCGTGCAGTGTGTTCATCATCTCAACAGGACACAAATTCTGGAGAATTGTCAACGAAGCAGATCTGGAAAGATCCTGGGTAATAAGCCAGGTTAAGTTTTACTCTGACAAGCACGCAAAACATCCTCTGGATACTTCAGATATTACTAAAGCGTTCGCCAGCTCCAGTTACCTAGGGTATGACCCTAAAAGTGTGTTTGATAACAAGACCTCCACCTACTGGCTTCCAAATGGATGGTATAAACACGGCCCAGGCGAGGATTTCGTTGGCTACGAATTTTCACAGCCTGTTGCTGTGAATTCCATCCGCGTGGTCCACCAATCAGGACAAGATAACGTTGTGTCTAAGAAGATGTTCGTAGAGGCTGCTGATGCGTACGGAGGACCCTACGTCACCAAATGGATCATTGAAAATACTAAAGGAAAAAGCAATAAAAGATTCAACAATCAAAGTAGGTGGTTAACGACTTGATTCGCTCAGAGGTTGTAATCGTATAATATTTTCTAGTTAAAGGTATATTCTTACAGAATAAAAAATTCTTTAAGGGCAACCGCGATGGAAAAAGAAAGTTTATCCCAATTTTCTTTCTGAAAGTGGTAGTAATGTCCCTTTTTATGTGGATCCCAATTTGAATGGATAACAATCGTTGAGTTTTGTTGGGGAATTAATGAACCACACACTGCCAAACCATACAGATCAGTCCTAACAAGCATGCGCATGAATTACCTGGGTCCGTGGGTTCCAATTAGGGATAACTTTAGCACATACTCTCTCAAACCTATAGAAGTTACTTGTCAAGCTTGACCCTCGTTTCTTCCATCTGTTTTTTCAGCATGTCTTAATCACTACCAAAATATAAATTAGTCACAGCCGTGCGATGACAAAGTCGTTGTTTTTTTTTTATCTGTATGTCAATTTCATTACAATAGGCAAGAAACCGTTTAGCAATGCTTCTCTCCACTGTAGTGTATGACACTGAAGCTAACGAATATCGTAATTGGGGAGAATCGAAACTCTTAGTTAAGGTACCATAGGTTATGCTCATGTAGTGTGGAGTACCTGCACCTTTACCTTTAGATCACCTATTTACGAAGGACAGATGAAAACTAACATAATGCCTTTTTTTTACAGTGTGTCCCCTTTTCTGGAGACGTTTTGCAACTGATCAAGGTGTCTACTGTTTCAAGTTGATAACCGAATTCATGACCTGGCATGACGCAAGAGACAAATGCGGTGAATACGGCGCCGATCTCAGCTCCATCAGAGGCGATGAGGAAGCAGACTTTGTTAAGAACCAAGTCCAGCTGTGCGGGTAGGTATCTCTTCAAGTAGACTACAAATAGTCCCTCATTTTTCCTCAGGGATAGTAGAGCGAGCGAAACATGAGCGCGCGTGAAACTCACCCCACGGGAGAAAAGGCGACACGCGGCATTTTTCTCTCTCCGCGCCGCGTGTCTCCTTTTCTCGCGTCGGGTGATTTTCACGCGTGCTCGCGTTTCGCGCGCTCTACTATCCCTGAGGAAAAATGGGGGACTACTCGTAGTCTACTCTTCAAAGTATATTTGGTAAAATCATAACCTGTTGGGTGTATAGACCACGTGCTTGGGCGGCTTTAATAACAAATCAGGTCAACCAAGGATCGTCTAGTCTCTCGCATGCGCTTCTCGGAACCTATCTTAAATTTGACTCAAGTGACAAGAGTTTTGATCGGCTTACTAGATGTAGTTTCTGCGCTGCTTTGCAAAAGTAATTACTTTATCAAGATGGATCAACCATAATTCGTCGAAAGCTGGTCTTACAGAAGTTATAATCGGGTTGTTTTTCCCACGCCGAGAGTGGATCAATAGAATAATTTGCTGTTATCATAACCAATTAATTCTTGGGGTCCGAATTGTGGTTGATACGCACGATGCAAAATCTCTCCAACATGGAGGGCTAGTGCTTTATCTCGCCTCTTACCCTCGATCGATCTAACTCCTAAGCCTCATCATCTAGACAAAGTAACAGGCCCAGGATGACCCCTAAAGAAGTAGTGGTACACAATGAATATGAACTAACGCTCTACTATCCCTGAGGAAAAATGAGGGACTACTCGTGGTCTAGCAGTAGCGCGACGTTTGAAACCATGAAGTCGCGCTACTGTAGCTCGACTTGGTTTCAAACGTCGCGCTACTGCCGTGCTGAACTCAATTCATAAATTATAAATACATTAGAATACATTTAAAAGTTTGCTAAACCGTTTTTTACTTATGTGTTTTGTTTTCGGCAAAAGCCGTTCTATTCGACTGAATTAAATTCGACGTCTGGAACCAAGTCTTGCTAGCGTCGTGCTGCAGTCAAGCTACAGTCGTGCCAGCTTAGCACGGCAGTGGCACGACGTTTGAAACAGATTTAAGTCATGTGTCCGATACGTTTTTTTTTTTCTGAGAACCTGTTATGGCATGTCCTCTCGGTGACTGTATTAACCGAGTTCAGCCAATGTAATTTTTTGCCTTTGCTTTCACACAGTTATACTTGGATTGGTCTTAACGACTTGAAGAACGAAAGTGACTATCAGTGGAGCGATGGCGCAAACTTAACTTATAAATCCATGAATTCACAAATGGATTACATGAAAGACGAAAGAGCTGAACAGGAAATGGACTGCATTGCTTCAGATCAAATTGGACAGTGGTCAAATTTCCATTGTGATGATAAATTCTACGCTCTTTGCAAGAAGAAGCTTAGTAAGTACCTGATAACTGTTCAGAGTTGGGTTAACACTCAGCAAACAAAAGGAGTTGGCTTGGAGGATCGAAGGATTTATATCTACTAGAGGTGATAGACTAATAGAGACTTGTTTGACTGAATGGTAACTTCCTTGCGCTTCCATTTTTTCGAGTCTTACGAGCCTTTTTATTAGCTTACTGAAATTTTAACCTTGAAGTTAACCAGAATTCCATTGTTTTACTCTTTTCGTCTCCGGTACGTTCTCTTTACGCATCAAATCAATGTCTTCTAGTCGTTGCACTGATTCTAGAGAGTAAACAAAAAATGATAAAATGAAAAGATGAAGGGAAGAGATTGAAAGGTAAAAGCGTAAGAAGTTCGGTGGTGGGCGTCTTTCTCTTCACGCATCATGAAATCAATGTCAAGTGCCTTAAAGATTCAGCAATCGTTTGCAATAGTTTGGGAAGTATTCGTCAATCGCCAGGGACGTAAATGTTCAAATTGTCTAGCCGTTGTGTTTTAGGCGAATCTTGCACTTATGTTATACTGCAAGTTCATTTCTTTCTATTGATAGAACCAGAAGATGATGAAGATGACGATGAGGCGGATGAAGTTGAGGAAGTCAAAAGTCACAAACATCACATTAAATACCACATTTTAAAGAAAAACAAAGTGAGAAAACACAAGAAAAAAGTGAGCTTGGGTGAGTAAGACACAAAAAAATGACATTGAAGAAAGAGTTAGAGCCTGATTTCATGGAGGTGAGGGGCCTCAGGTAGGTGAGGTAACCCGAGGAGGGTCGCCCAACCTATCATGTTAACATGATCAAATCAAAATGAGAGATTATATGGACAGGCGGGTTACCCCACCTACCTGGGGCCCCCCACCTCCATGTAAACAGGCCGTAAGTTAACAATCTGGTACCGTGTCTTTGTCCTGCACTTGTTACTGAAAATGAGAACATCGTTGGTTCGACCACTTTGGTACTCACTAGTGTATTGTAGCCGCAAATATAATGAAATTGAGCAAGAAATCACCCATCTCATGACTGCAGCTTTTAGATCCTTTTCTAGAATCGAAAGAGCTAGAGAATCATAAGATCGCCTGTTGCCCTATTTAAAATTACAATTTAACACTTGTATAAGTTCAGATATTGAAGCAAGCTTTTTTTTGCTGCAGCTGAAGAACTCAAAGACGCTAAATCAAGCGGAGCTGAAGAGGAAGATGAGGAGGAGACAGCCGACGAGGACGCCATTCGGGAGGCTGTGAAAGCTCAGAAGAATTCTAAGGACAGCGGAGAAGAAGAAGAAGAAGACGACGACGACGATGAAGGAGAAGATTCTGCCTCAGGATCGGGTCGATCGGCCAGCACCATTCCGAACAAGCCAAATAAGAGGTCTCCGCACAAAGTTTGGAAATTCTAGAGCACTGTTTTAATTGTCATGTCCAAGTAATGGAAGCATTGTATAACAAATGTAGTTTTACTGGGTAGCTTAAAAAGGCTCTTCCAGTTGAAAAATAATGGCTTTACTGGAAAATACGAGGGAATATAGATCCATGACTTCTTTCTAAGCCAAAGTTACTGAGCAAGGGTGAGAGCCAATGCTTTCATTACACAATGCATGATGTTAGAATAGAAAAGACTTATGTTTTCTAAAAAGGAAAAAAAAAACAGTACAAAGATGCTTAGTTTTATTTTCACAGAAAAAAAAATGAAAAGGGGGCCTCTCTGGCTAAAACGGGGAGGATAATTATATTACTGCTCATTAACGAAAGTCAGGTTGTCCCTTACCGTCCAGTTTCCCTTTGAGATTCCTGAAAAGAGTTTTGAATAATATTATATATAGTCAAAGACTTCAACACCCTTTCCTCCATCTTTATTTCAAGATCTCTTTCTAAGAAAAAATAAATGGGTGGTATCCAATTGAAGTGGAGAATGTATTTTTTGCTTAAAAGCAAAAAATATTGGAAGACAAAAAGTCAACGTTGGAGCATTTCTGTTGTTTGTGTAACTACTCGGAGGGATACTCCCCCCTATACCGGGAGGGTCCGCCGAAAAGGGGTACCTTTTCCAGGAATCACGTATGTAAAACGGTAGGGAATTCAAGATACGAAGTATACAAAAGGGTAGGAAAATCTCTCATTTAAGTTTTAAAAGGGCCTTTGGTGAAAATTGAGACTCTAAGATCCGGGGACGCGATGGCAACGAGAACGTCAACAAAACACTAAGTTTAGAAGGAAGGATATTTCTTTGCATTTCTTTGCCGTTTTTGCACGACTACTACGTGAAATTGCCTAATTTTACATTTTAGAGAGACGTAAACAAGCGACGACGAAATTGTATTTCTCTTTTTGAACTTGGATAGGGATCCTAGGGATTCAACTCTTGGGGGTTCGCCTACTTTTGATAAAATAAATGGTTAGGAATAATCGCGATTAAGACTGGAAGAACGTAAATTCGCTTTTCAAGCGACGTTTCTACTGTCATCACATCGTCGGATCGTAAAGTCCCTACTGTTTTGAACAGACGCGCCTTATGCCTAGATCATCTTAACTTATCAAACGTTACAAGAAAATGATAAGAACACTTTCTGTTTTGGTCATTTATTCTTATCAAGTAGGTATGTTGAGGGGCTACCATTTTTCAACAGAAGGTATACGAAAGGGGTGCCTTTTGCGTCAAAAATGGTATATAAAAGGGTAAGAGGTTGGACCTCGGGGCGTAGCCTACCCGTATAAAACTCCGTTGAGTACTCTCCGCGTGTAATTCGGGTTATGCAATACTGTGATGTGTAAACAGCTTGTAAGAATTCTTAAAAATGTCCCTAACTTTAGTTATTTTTGATTGATTTTCAAGTTATTTACTAGTAGTCTAGCCGTCTTTTCGTGTACATTTTCTTTGAGTTTTACCAATGATTCTAAACCCTTTGACCCCCTGTAAGAAAGTACATATTTCCGCTTCTTGATTCCATGTGTATCTTCGAGAAGTCGCTAGGAAAAAGTCGGTTTAGTCAATAATTGGTCTCAAAGGGTTTGGAATCTTTGGTGTTCAAAGTTGCTAATGACGTTATGGATAGACGTAAATTTCCCTTTTAGCTCTCTTTTTTGTTGATTGTAAATGACATAATAATTGTGCTATTAAAAACTTAACAAAAAGTTTCATAACTAAAAACAGCTGAATATTGATTTGAATTGCAAAACCAATACGGCAAAAACTACATCTCTGTAGAAGCTTGTCCAGCCGTTTGGGGCCGCGAGTTCTGCACCAGGTATATGTAAAGGAGGACGTTCTCCGACAGTGTGAAGTAATAAGAACTCAGAAGGGCAGGACGATTTATTTAGACTGACAGACTTACACTTTCCTTAACTGAGTTTTTTACTCGGTTACTGCATTACAATTTCACTCTGTTCCTTCTCTTTGTCTTTCTTGGTGTTAGCTTCCTTCTCCTTGCCTCTCTTATTTTATTTTTTACTTCTCCTTTCTCTCTCCGTTTAATTACAAATTTTCTGTTCTTTTATACCCAGTCGTTTTGACTCATCTGACTATATAGGTTTTGTTCATTAACATGCAATTAACTCTATAGGAAGAAATTAATTATAAAAATAACCAATGTCAAGTTGAGGGACAAGATGTTCGAAGTGCTGATTCGGCTGATTCCAGAACTTATAGACTGTTGCAATATAAACATATCAGTTAATTAAATGATGGTTTATTTTATCACTTTGCGTACTTAAGTAATTTGACAGTTCCTAGAACCTAAAAAGTTCATGCACGAAAATGACGCATTTAGTTCCGTAATAGTACTTTGCATCCCACCTACGTGCGTTATTGACGTTTGGGTACTGGTTGAAGAGTGAAGCCAAACGAGTGCTAATTGTCTAAAGCTACGGTAAAACGGGCAACAAAAAACGTACAATTTGTCTTGAAACATTGCTGCAAAACGAGTTGAATAGCGATGTTGTTCGTTTTACCACCCACGAATTAAACCTGTCTTGCAACAAATCAGGTCTTTGCAGGTTGTGAAAAGTTGCTGCAGAAAGTAGAGAGTACGTAGTTCTACTTTTTTTTAAACAAAAACTGTAAATGTTCCCGCGTTTTACTGGCCCAATGAAGACTTGTTTTGCAGCAAGCGACGTATCTCTTGCGTATGGAGTGACTCCCGCGTAATTTTATCCAATCGGAAGCAGGAGCCGATTACGGCTCCTGTCGGAAGTCAGTAATCACGCAACTTTCAACAAACTGAATTGTTGAAGAGTAAATGACGAAAAGGTCATGTTCAAACTTTATTAGAAACACTGGTAGGCTCGGTCTTTAGTGGTGGGTCTCTCGATGAGCGCGCGATTCTCCCCACCTCACTGCTGCGCGTGAGGTGAGAAGAATCGCGGGCTCATGAAGTCACCTACGTCTCGGTCACTGACTGATAATACCACACAACAAACGCAACTAATTTCAAACGCTAAACCTTTCCTTCCATATCTTTTTTCTTCTTTTCTTGTGTTTCTTTTATCTCCTTCTTGAGTGACTTTTCACTTTCCATGAAGACAAGATAAGCTCCTTTTCTGACGTTATTCTTGAGCTTAGTCTCAGCTGCCACTATGGTACCATGCACATTTTTGCCATCACCCAAACTGTACTCTGCAAACTGTAGATGATAAGATTAGTAGAAATCACAATTGCTGCTGTCGGTAGTAGTTTCACAGGCGTGGACGAGATGTTGCCCCTAGAAGGTGGCAGAGAAAGTGGGTGTTCACGCAATCGCGTGAGGTAGTAGTCTGCTACACAGCCGTTTTTAGTGTCGTCGCGCAACGCTCCTCCACACTAAAAACTGCTGTGTAGCAGACTAGTGAGGTAGTTGTCCGACTGTGAAGACTTTGTCGATTAAGGTACGGAAAAACAGGCAACGAAAATGTGCAACTTGTTTTGCGACATTGGTGCAAAACAAGTCGAATAGCGATGTTTCGCGTGTTGCCACTCACGAATCAAACCTGAAATGTTGTTGCTGGTCAGGAATCGTTGTTGCAAAAAAATTGGAGAGTAGTTCCACTTTCCACAAATTGTTTATAATACCTTTAATATGGCCATGTGGTTTTATAGCAGCAAGGATGGCACAGTTGGTTGGTGCGCGGCCTTCAGTGCGCGAGATCCCGAGTTTGATCCCCGGTGACATGTTGGACGAAAAAATGGATTTGCATCAAATTTGCTCTGTGTAGCTTTGACTAGCTTTAAATCAAATACCCTTAAAACGGAGCATGGAGAGAATGGGGTAAAATGTTTATCAGTTGAATTTCTGTCACGAGAAATCAACGTAAACTATAGTCGCTTTACCTTTACCTGTATAGAGAAGACAACGCTACATTCATCAGACTGATATCATTCTTGAAGCTGGATTTTAGATATTGCAGTGCAATGAACGCCAAAGTAAGTGATTTCTAGAGTTTATGGCATTTTACCCTTCATTCGGATTACAGTCAATCCATAACGCCCTTAGACATAAGTAAGGATCATTTTATTTTCTTTGTTTTTAATGAGTTCTCTTTCCTATTCATGTCTTTGTCAAAGATTTAGAAACTAAACTCGTTGTTTTAGTGTTTTTTAGTTTGTAACGGGGGACGTGCTCCGACAGTGTACGTGAAGTGATAAGAACTCAGAAGGGCAAGACGATTTATTTAGACCGACAGACTTAGTAAAGTAATAAAGGACAACATACAGCTCGCACTTACTCTTGAGTTTTGACTGCTGGCGAACACGTTTTTAAAGGCATTCTCGGCTTTCGCTTCATTGCCATTTCGGTTCAGAAGCTGGGTCATGTACAAGTATGACTGAAAAGCAGAAAAGGTTCAGTAATTAATGTTGAATCAAGGTCATTTGCTCCTTAAGTGGGCTATAAGGTTAGCATTAGGTAACATCGCCTGAAGCCAGATTGTTTCTTTCAATAAAATTACATAAAGAAAAACTTAAGTCCAACTTAACTGTGTAATCAGAAAAATAACAAGAAAGGTAAACAGAACTGGGATGCTTTGAACCCGAGTCGTTTGCTTCAAAACCTACATCCATATCCACTACGCCAAAACTACTTAGAGGGCGGGGACGGTTTGGGGGGAAGCGAAAAAAATGAAAAAAAAAAAGCCTTTTTCCGCGCCCCCTTCTTCTACAGCCATAATCTTCGACACCCGCCGCCTTGGTACACTTGAAAATCAAAATGGCCGCGCGCCATAAAAAAAATAATAATAACGGTAAGACGCGCTATATCTTGACGATCTCACGCAAAAACAGGGAACCGTGAACAGTCTAGCCAAATCCCGGAGTTTATACAATAAATATCTAGCCGATTTTTTGAAAACCAACCTAAGGAAATTTGCAGTCATTTGTGTGAAAAGGCGTCAAAAGGCACGTTTCTTAAGCCCGAGAAGCTCCAAAATCAATTTAACAAAGAAAAGGAAAGGAGAAAAGGAAGAGCGAGGAGAGGGAAAGGAGGAGAAGAAAAAAAAGCAATGGTTTCTTAGTTTTCATAAGAGTTATATTGGAGATGGCACACTTTGACAGATTGGCAGAATTCTTTGGAAACAATTGATTCAGCGAAATGAGCAGCATTGATGCCAACTGGCCTGAAACGCCGTCTGTCACAAGCAAATGGCACACTTTTACAGGTTGGCAGTATTCTTTGGAAACATCTGGCCGATTTTTTGAAAACTAACCCAAGGAAAGTTGCAGTCATTTGTGTGAAAAAGCGTCAAAAGCCACGTTCCTTAAGGCCCAAAAGCTCCAAAATCATAGTAACGAAAGAAAAGGAAAGAGCGAGGAGAAGGAAAGGAGGAGAAGAAAAAAAAATAGTTGAAGAAATTTGTAAAATTACACAAAGTAGATTCAATTGTCAAACACTACAATATGAAATACACTTTATATTATGCTCATGCAAAATTGAAATCAGTGAAAGGAAAAAGATCGCGAGGAAACACAGGTATAGTTCATTTGAGTATTGTGAACTGGAACCTCGTAAAAACAAACATTTAGTAACAAGGAGAAAAGAAAACAGGCAGATCGGGGTATAGATTTTTGCATTGAACAGTATAAAAATAAAATAAGAAAAGATCTCTGTTATATATCTTGTGTTTGTAATCAATTACTTTATAAGAGATCAGTTCACATTTTTGGCAAAAGTAAATATTCGTGTCAAAATCTTCTCAGTGTGCAGTCTTCATTTGATGGAAAACAGTCTGTTTGTAAAACATGTCACTTAATACAGACATTTTCTATCAATACCTCAGTGCCACTATTAACAGAGTTCGACCCTATTACCAACATCAAATAAAAACAAACTCATGTAGAAACCGAGCAACTGACCTCACAAACTACACCCATTATCTCAGCAATCAACTTCGAATATAACTCCACGCCTACTACTTCACTCATCTTAACTAGTCCCCCAAATATACAGCACCACTGCACTACCCACGTATCCCTCATACTCATAACAAACTTCACATACGCTTAGTACAACCACGCCCAAATAAACGCTCCCACAGCGTCTTGTTTTTCTTTGCAAAGTTACTGCACGAGAAACCCAAGCACCCCAGCCACGATAAACGAGGGTGTAAGCTGCATAATGTAACATAACGTCCTGGTTTGCAATCGCGCTGGCTAAGATAAGAACTAGACAGATTTGAAGAGAAAAAGCGGGACTGCAAGCTGTCTATAATCTATACAAAACTTAATTTTGATCGCACGTGGATCACTGTACTAAGAATGCGTCATAATATGAGGTCGTAGAAACTGTAGAAATGCCCCTTAGAGGCCAAACATTAGCGCAATAGGTGTACATGAAAAATCATTAACCGCTGTCGTCTATTTTTTTTTTTTACGAAGTGTGACAACTGTTGTAGCATAGTTTGTGCCTATTGAATTTTTATGAATGCATTAATTTTTGTAATACTTTTACTCCACAATTTTTATTGCTCGAGTATTCTAACTGCAAAAAGGCAAAAAGCAAGATTCGACAGAAATTCCAAATTTCATTTAGTAAAATACTGCCAAATAAGTCTTCCTCAGGACTTTGTCCAAAGAATCAAAAGTTGGAACCACCTTACTAGAATCCACTCATTTACTTTAGCCGAGAGATCAAAAAATATTAATATTGGAATGTTGAAATACACTAGCTATAAAAAAGGTAGCGATTGTTCCGGTGCAAGAATATAAATATTGTTACACAACTAACAAAATATGGTTCACAAATAACTCTTCTTTGCAACTTAGAATGCGAACATAAGTTTTATTTAGACTTCGCTTAAAAAGCTGTCCCTTAATGCTTGGTAGGAGTCTTTAGCAATCTAACAAAGACGGCTTAATCCAAGAGCAACATCCCATTATGGCCCTTGATTAAACTTGGCAGAAAACCCCCAGTGACGCAAGTTGCGGCCCCTGCTTTAAATAATCGCGAATTAAAACAAAATTATTTGAGTCAGTAATCAATTGCGTGAATTACATACTGCTCATATAAGAATACTTTTTTTGTTACATTGACTGAGTTTTTGTACTGTTCTGTGCGTTACCATTACTTTGCAAGTGGTCCCTAATTTACAGTTAGGTAACATTTTCTTGAGTTCAAGTAATTAAGCAAAAAAACCGTTTCGTGATGGCAAAAATTCTAATTATTATGCTCAGTTAGCTTTAGGTCGCTGAATCAATTGACAGTCGAAAGTTGTATCTGATTCTCTGTCAACTGTCGAGGGAAATTTGTAAAAATTTAAGAAAAATACTTTAAAGCTAAGGTGTGTCCTACTTTCACTATTCGAAGTTTAATATATCAATAATACGATGCTAACTCAACCTTTCTGAAATCTACTAAAGGACTTTAAAATAATAAGAGTTTGAAAACTCTGAGAGTGTTGCTCACCGTCGGCGCTATTTGCCAGAAATACTTGTACTCGGGTGCATAGCATTTACCACGAAAAGAAGCTCATTATTTTCGGAAAATGCAGTGAGAAAAAATCTTTAACTACCTGTTATATACATTTTTGCCTATGTTTCCACCAGGTGGTAAATGGTCGAAATGAAATCACACAGATGAAACACAAAACCCCTCGGGCGGCCTCTGACTGTGGTGGAAGTAAAGGTTTTCACTCATGTCTCAATACATGTAAGACTGTTAAAAGATACAATGTCTAAAAACTGTTTTCTACTTGCACCCCCGATCCAACTTCAATCTACCGACTCAAACAATAACCCATCAACGTTTTAAAAAGCGCGTCAGACATTTGACAGTGGTAGAAGTAGAGGTTTTCACTGTAGTCCTGTGTGCTCAAACCCTGGAAGATGCTTAATACATGCAAGACTGTTAAGAAATAAAATATATAAAAACTGTTTTATATATGCACACATGAAAATCCAACTTCAATCTGCTGACTCGAAGAATAAATCCAAGTCAGCGCGAACGCCCCAGACATTTGACAGTGCTGTGAAAGTAGACTGAAGTTTTCGCTCAGTCCGTATGCTCAATACAAGCAAGACTGTTAAGAGATATAGTTGCTAAAAACTGAATTATATTTGCACCCATTAAAGAACATGAAAATCCAACTTCGATGATTCAAAGAATCAACCCAAGTCAATGCAAGTTTGGCTAACCTGAAGTCTTAATAAACCGCCGGGGCTATGATACTATATTCTTGTATCTTCACTATTGTCCCTGTTGCTGATCGTCAAGGTCGGTGGACTCGATTGATCTCAATCCATACATTCTAAGAGCTTGCTCATAACATGGTGGCGGGTCCTTTTCATCATCCGAGTTATCAATGTCCTCCGTCCAAAATCCTCGCTGTCCTAAGTGTGGAGAAACTTTCGGAACATTTGAAATCGCCATAAAATAGTCAGGCAAATCTGTACAACAAGCTTCAGCACATACCAGACGATGAGGAATATGATTGTACGGAAGGACTGGGGCTGGAGATTTTTCCAAATCTTCCATGGGAATCTCAGAGACAACTACGTCTATTGAGTTGCTTTCAGGCCTGTGTCTTTTGTTGCAAGCTATTACTGCAGCTCCACTGACAACAAAAAATAAGATCAAGGCACCTCCACAAATCTTTCCAACCAATGAGATAGTTGATTGGCTACAATCATCTGTCTCTTTCGAATCGCAAGGTTTAGCGGAAAGTTTCATCGAAGCAAGCAAAACCGAAAGCACTACAATACACATCCAGGCTATTACAAAAACTGCAACGCAAGCTTTTCCTCTTAAAAGAGTCGACCACTTTGATACTCTTGGCTCTTCATTGGTATTATCAGCCATTATTCAAAACATCACTTAAGTGTCTGAAGAAATACGAGATAAGAAAATTTGGCTCCATTTCTTGCCGGTCGCCATGCACATTTTCAACCAAGAGATGTTTGCGAGTACAATGGAGGCAATGGTCACGATCAAGCCCCAGTATATCAGGTTTTTGGATAGACTGAAACAATAGGCTCAACGAGGTAGAACCATAACTGGCTGACCGAAAAGAAATTGGAAGAAGTTTTTACTTCTCAGTCTGTGGATCAAATCCTATTGTGTGACCATTCAAATCAAACCTCTTCGGCAGTTCTTCACCGTGCTACATTTTGTTTTTCCATACAGCAAAAAACCATTTTGTATTTTAACAGTTAGTTTTCGGCACACTTGAATAGATCAGAAGACAAAGGACAAAAGACAAAAGCCTAAAATTAAAACTGAATGGCCTGATATCACCTGATGTTGCAACAGTCCCCTAAGACACCCGCGCGGCCGGTTCCATGGAGACCGTAGATAACATAATAAGTTACCGAGTTGATAAACGTTATAAACTCAAATAACTACCAAGAAAATATTTTTAATAGTTGACGTTTCGAGCACTAACCATCCACCGCAACAAAACTAGCCCCTAGTCGTTACACTTTAGAAAATATCGTATAGGGACAAGCAGTCTTGATGGAGCTTAGACATGTTTTTCGTTAGCTTATTAGAAATGTTTCGAGAACCTTCTATAGCACGCTTTAAACTGGACAAACCTGTTTTTCTTGAAAAGGTCTTCGTATTGTATAAGAGGTCGAATTTGGCCAGTTTTCTCTCTTTCATTGGTAATCGAACTGTAACAAAGTTCTCTTGCGTTTTGCTCGTAAATAAAGTTCAATTTGTATTTAGAGAGTTGAGATTATTGCCGCACGAAGCTAGTCCCCCAGCTGCAATAGGGACCGGGAATCAACTGCGTGCCTGAATGCCTGCCGCCATATCTGCATTTTTCTGCGCTGCCTCGCCTGGAGATATTTTCAAGATGAGGCCGCTTCCAAATTGAGAAGCCATAGCTGTTCTTCATTTTGGTCGAATGATCTGACGTGGAAGGTTCAAGGTTTTTGGTTTGGGGAAGTTAGTTATACTGAAGGTGCTTCTGATGTAAAAGAAAATTTCCGAAGTTTCTTGCTCCAAAGGAAAAAGCGTTGGCAACGATCCTGCTGTCAGTTGAACAACCGTTGATTCTATTTTTACTCGCCGGGCGATAACACCAGTAGTATAGTAGTTAAGGGTAACAGCGTTTCGCACCGCTAACGCTGATACACAAATAGACTCCGTCTTCGTCTTCGTCCATTTTCCCCAACTACTATACTACTATCAACCTTGGGCTTTTTTACGGGCCGCTGATTGAGTTTTAAATATACATGATGACTAGCGCATAACAGGAAGTTAGTAATTATAGCAGGGACTTTCCCTAACTGCAGGAAGTCAATAATGTCATACAGCAGGTATTTTCCCGACAAAATAAGTCATAGTCTAATAACCAAAATGGAAAAATAGCAAAACTGTATATCCCTCACGATTTTACTGCACATAATAAACGTGTTCTCGCGGTACGTTCAATTACCTCTTCAAACGAGCTTTATATTAAACTCCATTCAATCTTTTCTGTAATGTGGAATGCGATTTTTTGTCCCCTATAAGGGCCTTTTTTTAATTATAATGTCTGTTCTACGCAATGTCGACTAAACCAACCTTAAGAGGTGTTCCGCTTTAAGTCCTTCTTCAAGGCAAAAAGATTTAAAGAGATAATTAAATATCTAGCCGATTTCTTGAAAACCAACCCAACAAAATTTGCAGTCATTTCTGTAAAAAAGCGTCCAAAGGCACGTTTCTTAAGCCCGAGAAGCTCCAAAATCAAAGTAACGAAAGAAAAGGAAAAGAGAAAAGGAAGAACCAGGAGAAGGAAAGGAGGAGAAGAGAAAAAAAGAAATGGTTGCACTCTTAGTTTTTACAAGAGTTACATTGGAGATGGCATAATTTGACAGATTGGCAGAATTCTTTACAAACAATTGATCCAGCGAAATGAGCAGCATTGATGCCAAATGGCCTGAAACGCCGTCTTTGACAAGCAAATGGGACACTTTGACAGATTGGCAGAATTCTTTGGAAACATCTAGACGATTTTTTGGAAACCAACCTAAGGAAATTTGCAGTCATTTGTGTGAAAAAGCGTCAAAAACCACGTTCTTTAAGGCCGAAAAACCCCAAAATCCTAGTAACGAAAGAAAAGGAAAGAAGAAAACGAAATAGTGAGGAGAAGGAAAGGAGATAAATTAGTTGAAGAAATTTGTAAAATTACACAAAGTAAGTTAAATTGTCAAAGACTAGAATATGAAATACACTTTATATTATGCTCATGCAAAATTGAAAGCAGTGAAAGGAAAAAGATTGCAAGGAAACACAGGTATGGGTCATTTGAGTATTGTAAGATGGAACCTCTTAAAAAGAAACCTTTAGTAACAAGGAGAAAAGAAAACAGGCAGATCGGGTATAGATTTTGCATTGAACAGTATAAAAATATATGTTGTGTTTGTAATCGATTCCTTTATAAGAGATCAGTTCACATTTTTGGCAAAAGTAAATATTCCTGTCAAAATTTTTTCAGTGTGCAGTCTTCGTTTGATGGAAAACAGTATGTTTGTAAAACATGTCACTTAATACAGACATTTTCTATCAACACCTCAGTGCCACTATTAACAGAGTTCGACTCTATTACCAACATCCAATAAAAACAACCCCATGTAGAAACCCAGCAACTACCTCACAAACTACACCCATTATCTTAGCAATCAACTTCGAATATAACTCCATGCCTACTACTTCACTCATCTTAACTATTCCCCCAAATATACAATACCACTGCACTACCCACGTATCCCTCATACTCACAACAAACTTCACCTACGCTTAGTACAACCACGCCCAAATAAACGCACCCACAGCGTCTTGTTTTTCTTTGCAAAGTTACTGCACTAGAAACCCAAGCACCCCAGCCACGATAAACGAGGGTGCAAGTTGTATAATGTAACATAACGTCGTGGTTTGCAATCACGCTGGCTGAGATAAGAACTAGACGGATTTGAAGAGAAAAAGCGGACTGCAAACAGTCTATAATCTATACAAAACTTAATTTTGATCGTACATGGATCACTGTGCTAAGAATGTGTCATGATATGAGGTCGTAGAAACTGTAGGAATGCCCCTTAGACGCCAAACATTAGCGCAATAGGTGTGACATGAAAAATCCTTAACCGCTGTCGTCTATTTATTTACGAAATATGACAGCTGTTGTAGCATAGTTTGTGCCTAATGTATTTTTTATGAATGCATTAATTTCTGTAATATTTTTACTCCACAATTTTTATCGCTCGAGTATTCTAACTGTATAGTGGCAAAAAGCAAGATTCGACAGAAATTCCAAATTTCATTTAGTAAAATACCGCCAAATAAGTCTTCCTCAGGATTTTGTTCAAAGAATCAAAAGTTGGAAGCACCTTACTAGAATACACTCATTTACTTTAGCCGAGAGATCAGAAAATATTAATATTTGGATGTTCGAATACTCTAGCTTTAATTCAAGGTAGCGATTTGTTCCTTTGCAAGAATATAAATATTGTTACACAAGTAACAAAATATGGTTCACAAATAACTCTTCTTTGCAACTTAGAATGCGAACATAAGTTTTGTTTAGACTTCGCTTAAAAAGCTGTCCCTTAATGCTTGGTAGGAGTCTTTAGCAATCTAACAAAGACGGCTTAATCCACCCCTCCCCCACCTCCCCCACCATAAGAAAGAACGAAAAAGGGTCCCAAAAACTTAGGCTAGATGTAAAAATAAATATCTCGCAGTTCATCAAACGTACATTAAACCAAGAGCAACATCGCATTATGGCCCTTGATTAAACTTGGCAGAAAACCCCCAGTGACGCAAGTTCGGCCCCTGCTTTAAATAATCGCGAATTAAAACAAAATTATTTGAGTCAGTAATCAATTGCATGAATTACATACTGCTCATATAAGAATACTCTTTTTGTTACATTGACTAAGTTTTTGTACTGTTCTGTGCGTTACTATTACTTTGCAAGTGGTCCCTAATTCACAGTTAGGTAACATTTTCTTGAGTTCAAGTAATTAAGCAAAAAAACCGTTTCGTGATGGCAAAAATTCTAATTATTATGCTCAGTTAGCTTTAGGTCGCTGAATCAATTGACAGTCGAAAGTTTCATCAGATTCTCTGTCAACCGTCGAGGGAAATTTGTAAAAATTTAAGCAAAATACTTGAAAGCTAAGGTGTGCCCTACTTTCACTATTCGAAGTTTAATATATCAATAATACGATGCTAACTCAACCTTTCTGAAATCTACTAAAGGACTTTAAAATAATAAGAGTTTGAAAACTCTGAGACTGTTGCTCACCGTCGGCGCTATTTGCCAGAAATACTTGTACTCGGGTGCATAGCATTTCCCACGAAAAGAAGCTCATTATTTTCGGAAAATGAACTGAGAAGAAATGTTCAACAACCTGTTCTATACATTTTTGCCCATGTTTCCACAAGGTGGTAAATGGTCTAAATGAAATCACACAAATGAAACATAAAACCCCTCGGGCGGCCTCTGACTGTGGTGGAAGTAAAGGTTTTCACTCATGTCTCAATACATGTAAGACTGTTAGGAGATATAATGTCTACAAACTGTTTTATACTTGCACCCCTGACCCAACTTCAATCTGCTGACTCAAAGAATAACCCATGTCAACGTTTTAAAAAACGCCTCAGACATTTGACAGTGGTGGAAGTAGACGGAGGTTTTCACTGTAGTCCTGTGTGCTCAAAGCCTGGAAGATGCTCAATACATGCAAGACTGTTAAGAAATAAAATATATAAAAACTGTTTTATATATGTACACACGAAAATCCAACTTCAATCTGCTGACTCAATAATAAACCCAAGTCAACGTGGTGTCACGTGTGAAAGTAGACGGAGGTTTTCGCTCAGTCCGTATGCTCAATACAAGCAAGACTGTTAAGAGATATAGTTGCTAAAAACTGAATTATATTTGCACCCATTAAAGAACATGAAAATCCAACTTTGATGATTTAAAGAATCAACCCAAGTCAATGCAAGTTTGGCTGCCCTGAAGTCTTAATAATCCGGGGCTATGATACTATAGTCTTGTATCTTCACTATCTCCTTGTTGATGCTGATCTTCAAGGTCGGTGGACTCGATTGATATTAATCCATACATTCTAAGAGCTTGCTCATAACATGGTGGCGGGTCCTTTTCATCATCCGAGTTATCAATGTCTTCCGTCCAAAATCCTCGCTGTCCTAAGTGTGGAGAAACTTTCGGAACATTTGAAATCGCCATAAAATAGTCAGGCAAATCTGTACAACAAGCTTCAGCACATACCAGACGATGAGGAATATGATTATACGGAAGGACTGGGGCTGGAGATTTTTCCAAATCTTCTATGGGAATCTCGGAGACAACTACGTCTACTGAGTTGCTTTCAGGCCTGTGTCTTTTGTTGCAAGCTATTACTGCAGCTCCAATGACAACAAAAAATAAGATGAAGACACCTCCACAAATCTTTCCAACCAATGAGATAGTTGATTGGCTACAATCATCTGTCTCTTTCGAATTGCAAGGTTTAGCGGAAACTTTCATCAAAGCAAGCAAAACTGAAAGCACTACAATACACATCCAGGCTAGTACAAAAGCTGCAACGCAAGCTTTTCCTCTTAAAAGAGTCGACCACTTTGATACTCTTGGTTCTTCAATGGTATTATCAGCCATCATTCAAAACATTACTCAAGTGTCTGAAGAAATACGAGATAAGAAAGTTTGGTTCCATTTCCTGCTGCTCGCCATGCACATTTTCAACCAAGAGATGTTTGCAAGTACAATGGAGGCAATGGTCACGATCAAGCCCCAGTATATCAGGTTTTTGGATAGACTGAAACAATAGGTTCAACGAGGTAGAACCATAACTGGCTGACCGAAAAGAAATTGAAAGAAGTTTTTACTTCTCAGTCTGTGGATCAAATCCTATTGTGTGATCATTCCAATCAAGCCTCTTTGGCAGTTCTTCACTGTGCTGCATTTTGTTTTTCCATACAACAAAAAACCATTTTGTATTTTAATAGTTAGTTTTCGGCACACTTGAATAGATCAGAAGACAAAGTTAAAAAGCCTAAAATTAAAACTGAATGGCCTGATATCACCTGATGTCGCAACAGTCCCCTGAGACGACCCGCGCGGCCAGTTCCAGGGAGACTCCAGATAACATAATAAGCTACCGAGCTGATAAACGTTATAAACTCAAATAACTACCAAGAAAATATTTTTAATAGTTGACGTTGCGAGCACTAACCATCCTCCGCAGCAAATCTAGCCCCTGGTCGGTACCACTTTATAAAATGCCGTATAGGGAGAAGCAGTCTTAATGGAACTTAGACATATTTTTCGTTTAAGTTGTATTTTGTTATGACTGTTTATTTCAAGGAGCTAATTAGCATATTAAAAATGTTTCGAGAACTTTCTATAGCACGCTTTAAACTGGACAAACCGGTTTTTCTTGTAAAGGTCTCCGTATTATATACGAAGTCCAGTCTCTTTCGTTGGTAATCGAACTGTCACAAAGTTCTCTTGCGTTTTACTCGTAAATAATGTTCAATTTGTATTTGGAGAGTTGGGGAGCTCTCGTACTTTCACTAAGTCGAACCGAAACAGGATAAAGGCCCAGATTATTGCCACCAAGCTAGTCTCCGAGCTGCAATAGAGACTGGGAATCAACTGCGTGCCTGAATGCCTAAAGGCATATCTGCATTTTTCTGTGCTGCCTGGCCTGGAGATATTTTCAAGATGAGGCCGCTTCCAAATCGAGAAACCATAGCTGTTCTTCATTTTGGTCGAATGATCTGACGTGGAAGGTTCAAGGTTTTTGCTTTGCTGAAGTTAGTTATACTGAGCGTGCTTCTGATGTAAAAGAAAACTTTCCGAAGTTTCTTGCTCGAAAGGAAAAAGCGTTGGCAGCGATCCTGCTGTCAGTTGAACAACCGTTGATTCTATTTTTACTCGCCGGGCGATAACACCAGTAGTATAGTAGTTAAGGGTACCAGCGTTTCGCACCGCTAACGCTGATACACAAATGGACTCTGTCTTCGTCTTCGTCCATTTTCCTCAACTACTATACTACTATCAACCTTGGGCCTTTTTACGGGCCGCTGATTGCGTTTTAAATATACTTATTATTCATTCAAAATATTTTCCTGATTCCGATTGGCTAAAAGTTCACGTTTAATTCACCATAACCAGTTACCGATGACCAAATTTGGCGTTTTCGCAGGTTAAGGCACCGTTAACCGAGAAGACTTGAAAAATGGCGGACATTTCACTCGTTTCAAACGAGTGAACTAGGCGAAAAAATAGCTAAAAGCATGGCAAGAACAGCAAGAAGAGAACTCGAAGGGCGACATCTGCTCTTTGGAAAATATTTGCGGAGCTGCACAAACCTAAACGTCCAGCACTATCGAAGATAAACTTAACATCGATGGATCGATGGAGGTAAGCATGTTTTAGCCATGTTTTTAAACTAGGAATTATTTTGAATCAATAATAAAACAATTGTTGAATTCGGCTTTCGTATCATATGAAGAATTTTGGAGATCTCGGAGGGTGTTATCCGTGTTAAATAATAGCGCATAACAGGAAGTTAGTAATTATAGCAGGGACTTTCCCTAACAGCAGAAAGTCAATAATGTCATACAGCAGGTATTTTCCAGACAAAATGAGTCATAGTCTAATAACCAAATTGAAAAATAACAAAACTGTGTAGCCCCCACGTTTTTACTGCACATAATAAACCTTTTCTCGCGGTACGTTCAATTACCTCTTCAAACGAGCTTTATATTAAACTTCGAATTCAATTCAATCTTTTCTTTAATGTGGAAGGCATTTTTTTGTCCTCTATAAGGGGCTTTTTTATAATAATGTCTGTTCTACGCAATGTCAACTAAACCAACCTTAAGAGGTGTACCGCTTTACGTCCTCCTTCAAGGCAAGAAGATTTAAAGAGATAATTAAATATCTAGCCAATTTCTTGAAAACCAACCCAACAAAATTTGCAGTCATTTGTGTAAAAAAAGCGTCAAAAGGCACGTTTCTTTAGCCCGAGAAGCTCCAAAATCAAAGTAACGAAAGAAAAGGAAAGGAGAAAAGGAAAAGCGAGGAGAAGGAAAGGAGGAGAAGAAAAAAAAAAGCAATGGTTGCACTCTTAGGTTTTATAAGAGTTACACTGGAGATGGCACACTTTGACATATTGGCAGAATTCTTTGCAAACAATTGATCCAGCGAAATGAGCAGCATTGATGCCAAATGGCCTGAAACGCCGTCTGTCACAAGCAAATGGCACACTTTCACAGATTGGCAGAATCCTTTGGAAACATCTAGCTGATTTTTTGAAAACCAACCCCAAAATTTGCAGTCATTTGTGCGAAAAAGCGTCAAAAGCCACGTTTCTTAGGCCGAAAAGCTCCAAAATCATAGTAACGAAAGAAAAGGAAAGACGAAAAGGAAAGAGCGAGGAGAAGGAAAGGAGGAGAAGATAAAAAATTAGTTGAAGACATTTGTAAAATTACACAAAGTAAGTAAAATTGTCAAACACTACAATATGAAATACACTTTATATTATGCAAAATTGAAATCAGTGAAAGGAAAAAGATTGCAAGGAAACACAGGTATAGTTCATTTGAGTATTGCAAGATGGAGCCTCTTAAGAAGAAACATTTAGTAACAAGGAGAAAAGAAAACAGGCAGATCGGGGTATAGATTTTTGCATTGAACAGTATAAAAATAAAATAAGAAAAGGTCTCTGTTATATATGTTGTGTTTGTAATCGATTACTTTATAAGAGATCAGTTCACATTTTTGGCAAAAGTAAATATTGGGGTCAAAAGTTTTTCAGTGTAAAGTCTTCATTTGATGGAAAACAGTATGTTTGTAAAACATGTCACTTAATACAGACATTTTCTATCAACACGTCCTCAGTGCCACTATTAACAGAGTTCGACTCTATTACCAACATCCAATAAAAACAACCCACTGTAGAAACCCAGCAACTACCTCACGAATTACACCCATTATCTTAGCAATCAACTTCGAATATAACTCCACGCCTACTACTTCACCCATCTCAACTAATCCCCCAAATATACAATACCACTGCACTACCTACGTATCCCTCATACTCACAACAAACTTCACCTACGCTTAGTACAACCACTCCCAAATAAACGCTCCCACAGCGTCTTGTTTTTCTTTGCAAAGTTGCTGCACGAGAAACCCAACCACCCCAGCCACGATAAACGAGGGTGTAAGCTGTATAATGTGACATAACGTCTTGGTTTGCAATCGCGCTAGCTGAGATAAGAACTAGACGGATTTGAAGAGAAAAAGTGGGAATGCAAGCAGTCTATAATCTATACAAAACTTAATTTTGATCGCACGTGCATCAATGTACTAAGAATGCGTCATAATATGAGGTCGTAGAAACTGTAGAAACGCCCCTTAGAGGCCAAACATTAGCACAATAGGTGTGACATGAAAAATCCTTAACCGCTGTCGTCTATTTTTTTTACGAAATATGACAAATGTTGCAGCATATATAGTTTGTGCCTAATGAATTTTTATGAATGCATTAATTTCTGTAATACTTTTACTCCACAATTTTTATTGCTCCAGTATTCTAACTGTAAGGAGGCAAAAAGCAAGATTCGACAGAAAAATTTTCAAAATTTCATTTAGTAAAATACTACAAAATAAGTCTACCCCAGGATTTTGTCCAAAGAATCAAAAGTTGGAACCACCTTACTAGAATCCACTCATTTACTTTAGCCGAGAGATCAAAGAATATTAATATTGGAATTTTGAAATACTCTAACTTAAATGAAAGGTAGCGATTTGTTCCGGTGCAAGAATATAAATATTGTTACACATGTAACAAAATATGGTTCACAAATAACTCTTCTTTGCAACTTAGAATACGAAACATAAGTTCTAGTTAGACTTCGCTTAAAAAGCTGTCGCTTAATGCGTGGTAGGAGTCTTTAGCAATCTAACAAAGACGGCTAAATCCACCCCTCTCTCCCCCGCTCCACCACCATCAGAAAGAACGAAAAAGGGTCCCAAAAACTTAAGCTAGGTGTAAAAATAAAAATCTCGCAGTTCATCAAACGTACATTAAACCAAGAGCCATATCTCATTATGGCCTTTTTTTAAACTTGGCAGAAAACCCCACTGACGCAAGTTGCGGCCCCTGCTTTAATTCATCTCGAATTAAAATATAACTATTTGAGTCAGTAATCAATTGCATTAATTACATACTTCTCATATAAGAATATATTTTTTTTGTTACATTGACTAAGTTTTTGTACTGTTCTGTGCGTTACCATTACTTTACAAGTGGTCCCTAATTTACAGTTAGGTAACATTTTCATGAGTTTTTAATAAGTAATTAAGCAAAAAATCCGTTTTGTGATGGCAAAAGTCTAATTATTATGCTCAGTTAGCTTTAGGTCGCTGAATCAATTGACAGTCGAAAGTTTCATTTGATTCTCTGTCAAACGTCGAGGGAAATTTGTAAAAATTTAAGCAAAATACTTGAGAGCTAAGGTGGGCCCTACTTTCACTATTCGAAGTTTAATATATCAATAATACGCTGCTAACTTACTAATAACCTTTCTGAAATCTATTAAAAGACTTTAAATAATAAGAGTTTGAAAACTCTGAGAGTGTTGCTCACTGTCGGCGCTATTTGCCAGAAATACTTGTACTCGGGTGCATAGTACAGTACCACGAAAAGAAGTTCATTATCTTCAGAAAATGCGATGAGAGAAAAATCTTTAACTATCTGTTCTATACACTTTTGCCCATGTTTCCACCGAGTGGTAAGTGGTCTAAATGAAATCACACAGATGAAACATAAAACCCCTCGGACGGCATCTGACCGTGGTGGAAGTAAAGGTTTTCACTCATGTAAGATTGTTAAGAGATATAATGTCTAAAAACTGTTTTCTACTCTGCACCCCTGATCCAACTTAAATCTGCTGACTCCAACAATCAACCCATGTTAGCGTTTTAAAAACGCCTCAGACATTTGACAGTGGTGGAAGTAGAGGTTTTCACTATATGCCTGTGTGCTCAAACCATGGAAGATGCTCAATACATGCAAGACTGTTAAGAAATAAAATATATTAGTATATACTAAAACAGTGGATAGTGTTTTTCGCGCGCTCTGATTGGCTACTCAGTCAGTGAATATCCTGCAGTATTCACTGATTCACCTCCAGTTCCTCCGAGCGAGCGACGCCAAACTCGCGTAAGTTGCGAGCAAAATGCCTTCCCGGTTTGCTGTCGTAACAAACAAAGAAATTTCACGACTAATCAAGCACGCTGTTCCCGAAATACACTAAGGTGACGATGTTCGGTTTTGAAGTTTTAACAGGTAAACCTTATTTGTCTTTTTGACTCGAATTTATCGATAAAACCGGTGAAAAAGTTTTTTGTTTACAAATGCAAATTAAGCTTAATTCTTGAGTTACTTTATTTAGTTGACTTGGTCATAAATAAGCTTAAAACTAAATTTAATAATCTTATTTTACAGAATGATTTTAAATACAAAAGAAATTTCCCCGCAAGAGCTAGACAAATGTCCACAAAGCTTTTATTTGTCGGCAAGAAAAAGCGACGGCCGCGGGCGTTCGGTCATTACGCGCAAAAGTTGTCATCGTTGGCAACAGCATTTGAGTTAAAAATCATCATTTTTGTGCTCAATTATCTCACCGTCTTAGTATATACCAAAACAATTATTCACCTCAGTGTCGGTGGCTAGTGGTGTGGGTATTTACAATCTCCCACGACTAGCCACTTTCACTTCGGTGAATAATTGTTATCTAAAACTGTTTTATATATGCACACATGAAAATCCAACTTCAATCTGCTGACTCGAAGAATAAACCCAAGTCAACGCGAACGCCCCACACATTTGACAGTGGTGTGAAAGTAGAGGTTTTCGCTTGGTCCGTATGCTCAATACAAGCAAGACTGTTAAGAGGTATAATTTCTAAAAACTGAATTATATTTGCACCCATGAAAGTCCATGAAAATCCAACTTTGATGATTCAAAGAATCAACCCAAGTCAATGCAAGTTTGGCTGCCCTGAAGTCTTAATAAACCGGGTCTACGATACTATAGTCTTGTATCTTCAATGTTTCCTTGTTGATGCTGATCTTCAAGGAAGGGGGACTCGATTGATATCAATCCATACATTCTAAGAGCTTGCTCATAACATGGTGGCGGGTCCTTTTCATCATCCGAGTTATCAATGTCCTCCGTCCAAAATCCTCGCTGTCCTAAGTGTGGAGAAACTTTTGGAACATTTGAAATCGCCATAAAATAGTCAGGCAAATCTGTACAACAAGCTTCAGCACATACCGGACGATGAGGAATATGATTGTACGGAAGGATTGGGGCTGGAGATTTTTCCAAATCTTCCATGGGAATCTCGGAGACAACTACTTCTACTGAGTTGCTTTCAGGCCTGTGTCTTTTGTTGCAAGCTATTACTGCAGCTCCAATGACAACAAAAAATAAGATGAAGACACCTCCACAAATCTTTCCAACCAATGAGATAGTTGATTGGTTACAATCATCTGTCTCTTTCGAATCGCAAGGTTTAGCGGAAACTTTCATCAAAGCAAGCAAAACTGAAAGCACTACAATACACATGGAGGCTACTACAAAAACTGCAACGCAAGCTTTTCCTCTTAAAAGAGTCGACCACTTTGATACTCTTGGTTCTTCATTAGTATTATCAGCCATCATTCAAAACATCACTCAAGTGTCTGAAGAAATACGAGATAAGAAAATTTGGTTCCATTTCCTGCCGCTCGCCATGCACATTTTCAACCAAGAGATGTTTGCAAGTACAATTGAGGCAATGGTCACGATCAAGCCCCAGTATATCAGGTTTTAACATAGACTGAAAACAATAGGCTCAACGAGGTAGAACCATAAGCTGACCGAAAAGGAACTGGAAGGAGTTCTTACTTCTCAGTCTGTGGATCAAATGCTATCGTGTGACCATTCAAATCAAACCCCTTTGGCAATTCTTCACTGTGCTACATTTTGTTTTTCCATACAACAAAAAACCATTTTGAATTTTAACAGTTAGTTTTCGGCACACTTGAATAGATCAGAAGACAAAGTTCAAAAGCCTAAAATTAAAACTGAATGACCTGAGATCACCTGATGTCGCAACAGTCCCCTGAGACGACCCGCGCGGCCAGTTCCAGGGAGACTCCAGATAACATAATAAGCTACCGAGTTGATAAACGTTATAAACTCAAATAACTACCAAGAAAATATTTTATAGTTGACGTTTCGAGCACTAACCATCCTCCGCAGCAAATCTAGCCCCTGGTCGGTACCACTTTAGAAAATACCGTATAGGGAGAAGCAGACTTGATAGAATTAACTTAGACGTGTTTTTTGTTCAACTTGTATTTTGTTGTGACTGTTTATTTAAAGGAGCTAATTAGCATATTAAAAATTTTTCGAGAACTTTCTATAGCACGCTTTAAACTGGACAAACCGGTTTTTCTTGAAAAGGTCTTCGTATTACATAACAGGTCAAATTTGGCCACTTTTCTCTCTTTCGTTGGTAAACAAACTGTCACAAAGTTCTCTTGCGTTTTGCTCGTAAATAAAGTTTAATTTGTTTTTAGAGATTTGGGGCGCTCTCGTACTTTCACTAAGTCGAACCGAAACAGCTTAAAGGCCCAGGTTATTGCCACCAAGCTAGTCCCCGAGTTGCAACAGAGACCGGGAATCAACTGCGTGCCTGAATGCCTGGCCTGGAGATATTTTCAAGATGAGGCCGCTTCCAAATCGAGAAGTCACAGCTGTTCTTCATTTTGGTCGAATGATCTGACGTAGAAGGTTCAAGGTTTTTGG